GGGAATGCTACTTGGCAGTGACTAATAACAGAAGTTAATTCCAAGACGTGTTTAAGCTTTTTGTGTGTACATTAAGCTAAATCTTTGTGTGTTTGTTTTTTTCAGTCTTTTGTCTTTGGGGTAAGTGGATGTCATTAGGATTTAGAGGAAGGCAAAAATCTTCTTTTACAATCTCTAGAAAGGAAAGCTTGAGATGTCATGCTTCTGAAGTCAGAAGCAACTTATCACTGGTTTTAGCGGGAGAAGTGTGAAGCTCTTCTGTTCACTACTGAGTGCTAGGTCTGGGCTATATATGTGCAAGAGGTGGAAAAAATTTCTTAAATGGTGCATTTAAGCATTTTGAAGTGCAATGGCAAGAGAATAATGCATAGAACAGATTATAGGAACTGCATGCTTTGGGTTCTGGATGCTGACTGGTAAAGAGATGTGTGCAGGTGTGTTCGGTTCATTCTCTTTGTTTTCTTTTTTGGGGGACAGGGAGATAAACAGGAATTTCTTCAACGCACAGTTCGGAAGCTTATTCAGAACTGATGAGAATCCAACTTATTTCCTAAGACGTCTCTCTAGATTTGCGGATATCTACATGGCGTCATTGAGTTGTCTCTTGAACTATGAGCCTGATTACACATTTTATCCAAGAAGGACTCCTTTGCAGCATGAACTTCCTGGCTGGTCAGACCAGCTGTGCACTGGTACATTCAGAATACCTTTCCTACAAGAGACAGTTCAGATCAAATAAACACCTGGTGGCTTCTGTCTAAAATCAGCAAATAATTTTTTTTTTTAATATACATGTATTTTATTTAAGTCGCCTAAATCTGTTATCTTGATTTAGATGTAATTCATACTTGTTCTCGTAAGCGTTGTACCTGTTTTTTCCTCTCCTGCTTGGAGATGTGAAAACTCCTCTTACACACAGAAGAAATGATGGACTGCCAAAATAGTGGTGGGCTGGAAGGGTGGCCACATTTGAGGCAAAGGACTGGTGGTGTTCTGGGGTAGTTGTTTTTATTTGTTCATTGGAAACATTGATCTGCAGCCTGGTGGTTTACAAAGAAATACCTGTCCTCTCTGTTCTCACCCTGTTCAGCACTCCAGCTGGAGCCTGTAGTTGATCTTGGCACTGAAAAGCTTAATTCCATTAGTAATTCAGTGATAACACAGTTAGTGGCCAGTTTATGGTGAGACTGAGGAAGATGGTGTACACATTTTAACTTTCCTTGCTGGCATAGCTCGAACCTTACCTGTAACTGAAGTAACCTCTGTAGTGTTGGGGTGACTCTGCTGCGTTGCAGCGATGACAGGACTGGTGGGCTTAGGCTGATGGGCTTTTTCTCCTGTCTGTGCAGTTTCTGTTCTTGTAATATCTGTGCTTGGCTGTAGGTGGACCTGAGCCTAAAACTGAAAGTGACAGTAACTTGGGCTGCTTCAGCTACCTTTTGTTAACTTTTAGGCACCTTTTTTTTTAAGTTTCAAAACAATATTCAGTCTCTAATAATAAAGCCATTTCAAGAGGTCTTGCATTTTGCATTTCAAAGTGGAGACAGATCTCTGTCAGGCTTTAGAATGATACTAAATGCTGCTTTTTAAAATTTTAAGTGTCTTACAGTGGTATGCAATGTGGTTTTGATGTTCTCTAGGACAGAATGTATTTCATACAGCCTTCAGTCATGGACTTTTACAGTCAAAACTAAACACGCACAATGGGCAAGTGAGTTAAAAGAAAAATTAAGAAATGAGAACATGAAAACTAGAGTTTTCTGACTTTGTTTTTTTAGCTCACGCCCTGAAACCTGAATTGGGGGAGGTAAACAGTTTGCATCAAGCAAAATAATTCTGGTGGTGCAGATTAGAAGTTTTACTGAATTACTGAAATTGCAGGTAATGCATGAACACAAACTCTGGGTAGCGTGTATGTTCCAAAGATTTGAGCTGAAAAATGTCAATTTTGCACAAGGAAAACATTTGTTGATGTGTTTCCTCAAACAGGCACTTTATAGAACTGCTATATAGTTGTTCTTAAATAAGGATGCTTTCGTTTCTCTGCATCCAAAGGAAACATTTCTTTTTAAACTGGTGCTTCCCACCCTAGCCATTTTAGAAGGCATAATATGATTAATATTTTTCAAATTTTAGTTATTAAAGGATCTGTTTTTAAAAACATGCAATTAACAAAATATATAGCTTTTGGTATTCTTCATTTTGGAATATCCCTTGCTTCCTACCATGATTGTCAGGTAAACAAACTTTTGGTGACCAAAAGTTTTATTGTTTGTGTGTTTGGTTTTTTTTAACCTGTCTGTATTATGTGCAAGTACCTATATTGAATTTCATATGCAGTATATTTCATATTTTTAAAAGGATGTTTGCAAAGTAAAGAATGTATTCTAGTCTAGCCTGCACAATTTCATAAGTAGTTTTCCTGTATGCTTGAAATCAGACTGAAGTCCTTGGAGGTGGTTATAGATTTTATGTTCATGGTTTCCTCGTGCTCTTGTTTCAAACTTGACACGCAACACCCCTGAAGTGTGTGTGTGTAAACAGATGAATATACTTGAAATGAGTAAGTATATCTGACAGTCCTGCTGTTCTGTTGGAAGAAAAAGATAAAGTTTTGCAGGAAGTTTGGCTTTATCAGAGACTTATTGGTGAGGCTATGTGAGAAATATTTAGCATAACTTGATAATGAAATGTGGGGATGGAAATATCCCTGAATTGCCTTCAGTTCTTTATCCTAATGCTCAGCTAGAACTGAACTTGGTGTTAGGTGTGTGTAGCACCTCTCACACTCCAGAGACTTCAATGCACTGTTTAAAACAAAAAAACAAACCCCAAACCACTGTACATTCTCCATCTTAGTACCAGCAAATAATAATAATATTGTGTTACTCGGTTCTGCATTATTTGATAATGTTTTGTTGGTTATAGCTCTGTGATGTTTTATTCTTTTAAAGCTGGCTAGGAGTCAGTTTGCCTACTTTTCTTGTGTTAAGCAGGAACAGTGTAATTGGGTTGGATGACATTATCCACATAATACACGTTTTCTTTCAAGATGATTTTCTCCTCTCCCCCTTCCTTCTTAACTTACAAATCAAACTTCTGTACAAAGCTATGTTAAAACACCCAGCTGAAGTAAAGTCTTGTTTATATTGCATGACTTCTTGAAATAAACAACATTGCATGAAAAAAAGATTCTGGGAGGGTTATGTTCCTTTAAAACAACCCGACTATATATAATACGAATTTAAGTGAGAATTTTTAAAGTGTACTATTTATTTTTCAGTGCTAGAGTGCTCTTCTTTAACTTTTAAAAATGTATTGCATTTTTGTAATGGTTTCACCTTGGCTCTCTCTGCATTACTTATTTTAATCTTGTTATGTTACTGACTTCAAAGAGATTTTGGAGCATGTTTAAAGGGCAGTGGCTCTTTGTATTCATTTTGGGATTATAGTTCATTCGAACACCAGAACAAGAACAAATTTTAATTCTGTTCTATCAAAAACACGGAGGAGAATAGTCTGTCAGGAAAACAAGAGTTTAATGAACTGTGGAACTTTTGTGTGAGGAAAAATCTTTAATGATTATTATATAAATAAATGCTTGGACTTTATCTTGTGGTCTCTATGAGCCTTAATATTTTGGGTGATTGGGAAGAAGGAATGAACATGAGTTGTATTAATGGCAAAACTCTGTGGGGAAAACTCCCCTAAGTATGTGTGTATGTTTAAGTATGTGTGTGTGTTCTAAATTTTTTAATATCTTACAGGTAAAAAGCAGGCATATGTAGGGGGCCAAGGGAAAGGAGTTAGAGAAATCACTTCAGTCTGCCTCTTTCATCCAGGCATATTTACACGTTAGATTTCCTTGGTTGTGCTTGGTAGCTGCGTCAAGAACCCTGGATTTGCTGGCAAACCTTGTTCTGACGGGAGGCATCCTGGGGTTGCTCTCAGAGGTAACTGATGCTTTCCTTGAGTCACACCTTCCCTCCTGCCCCCCATGCATGGTAGACACCAGGCACCATGTCGTAGGGGAATGTTACTGCTATCAGCAAGAAAATCTTCCTTTTCTTGCTGTTTTGTGGTTTCTATAGCGTTCTCACAATTTGCTATGATATTAATGTTTTGAGGGAAGGAAATGGCAGCAAATCAAACTCGAGTTTGATTTGTTAACGTGCTTGGTAAAAATACGGTATATGAACAAGCAGGTAGCTTCTGCTCCTCTCAGACCTAAACAACTGAATGCGACGTGACATGACAAGGGTACGTTCATCTTCATTGCTCACTTTTCACACAAATGGCTCAAGTAAAAATTGATGACTATTTGGATGCTTTCAGATCACCTGTATTACTTGCTAAAGCTGCTACAATTAGGATTTCCCTTTGTACAGTGAGGTGAGATGTAGGCAAAACACAGTTGAGCTTAAGGAAAGACAGAAAGGCTAGAGGAGGTAAGCGGGGGCAGACAGGATGGCTGCGTTTCCTGCTGCTGAAATTCTTACAGGAAAGTATACTAGCAAACCCCCCCCCCCCAGTTTAAAAATACAAGTTTAGCATGGTCTCTTTCATACTTGCCAGTTGTAGTTGGAACTGAGCCAAAATGAAAGTGCAGAGCTGGAGTACTAGCAAATTTAGGATACTTGCCAAGTTAGCAGCTCTGTGTGTTTGAGGCCATTTTAAAGTGTATGAAGAAGAATAAATGCAGTTAAATAGGCTAGTGAAAGTCGTCTACTTTTCATGGAGAGGTGTATGTTTGCTTCTGGGTAGGTTAGTTGAGGCTCAATTTTGTGTTTGGCAGTCATCGTTGGTATTGCTCAGATATAGCCAACACTTCTGATATTCATAATTCTGTGAACTCTATAGACTGCATCTTAAACAAAACCGTGCTCTTTTGGTTTTTAATTGGTAATGAGATTTTATTCCCTGAAATGTGTAGGTGCCATTTTTTTCACAGTAAGTGTGAATAGAAGTGTGTTTTATAATTGGCTAATGCCAAATTCAGTCTAATTCTGATCATGAGGACCACTCATCACAAGCTGCTGGTCATCTGAATCCTATAAAACATAAAAAAAAGAAAATCAGACTTGAACGTTGCGTTAAGAAATGAAAATCACTTTTTGGCAAACTCGTCCATACAGATGGCAGAGCTTGCACCTGACATTTTTGCACCAAACAAGTCTTTTTACTGGGTGCAAAAATGTTTATTTAGATTTTTAGACTCTGCATGTACATGAGGATCTTGCTAAATGAGACCATTGAAGCTATTCAGATACTCTGGCTTTACTTAATCTTTCTTTCCCGTGATTCCCATTCCCATTCCTGTTGTGTTTCAGATTCTTTGCAGTGCTAGCATGGCACTCAGCTGTGTTTGCAGCAACAGAAGGGAAGAAAAAATTGGAAGGCTTTTTAAGTTCGTATAGATATGTCACTGGCATCCAGTAGCATTTGAAGTCCAATTTAATTCAGCTGTCTTTGAAGGCAGACTTGAGGTACAGCTGTAGACCACAGCCTCAGTTTGCTGCAAGTGAGACTACCCAGTTTGTAGCAGTGGTGAGACAGGAAAGCCAGGAACTTTAATGGTGTTTTCCTGAATTAATTTTTCTTTTTTTCCAACTCAACATTTTCCTTTCATAAAGTCATGCCCTCTTACAGTTGTGTCTCAATCTCAAATCAAAATGAACACTTACTGAGAAAAGATCATAAGTAGGTTCTGGTGGAGTCAGTGCAGAAGAAGTTTCATATGAGGGGTTGGTGATATTTGAAGGCTGTGTCTTGTCCAGTGATGTTACGTCAGTGTCATCTTTTGACTACACAAAATCACACAAACCTGCTTAAAATCCGTCCTCCTCCTCCAGTGCATTAAGTGAGGCACTTAAGCTTTGCTCCCATCTGGTGCAGTATTGTGACTGAACTGGCTTTATCATCTAAATCGGTGTCTCTGGGCATGAACTGTGTTGTGGATTGTATTATCTGAGGTCACTTAACACTGGTATCTTCTTTTTTCTCTCCCTTATTATTTTTAAACTTCAGCAAAGATTGGGAGAGGAGGTGCTTGCCCTGACATTCTGCCTGGGGTAAAAGGTGCCTGGTTGGTCCTGAGCACTCTCATTGCAACTATATAAAAATACAAGTGTTTTCCCCTTGCTCATGGCTCCTGTTTTTTGTTTCTAGAAGGTGATTCACATTACATGCATGGGCTAGAAAAGGCAGGGATTTCTAGTTACTTCTAGGTGGACTTTCCTTTGGATTGATTCTTGTGTAATTTATAACATTTGTCATCCCTTGTCTCTGAGTAGCTTGGCTGTTGCTGGCTGGTTTTGCATCATTGTGATGCTACACGAGGCTAGCAAAGTTAATTAAGAGAAAGCAAGCATAAGAGTGTAGGAGTATAAAAATTCGCATTTTTTTAATCCTGCAGTCATTTCAATTTGCTTGTCTCTTGAATCTGGTCTTTTTCCTTTCAAATGTTTCAACCACCAGAGCAGCAAAATTAATAGCAATGCCATGGAGGAGGAGGAAGAGAACAGGTGCCCTTTGTGGTTGTAATTACCTGCTTCCCAAAGGGTGAGCTTTCTGGTGAGGCAAAGGCTTCTGCACTGGTGCTGTATAGTTAAATAAGCTTTTGACCAGTCCATGGTGTTGGAAGTGTGTGAGAGAGCAGGAGCCCACTGAGCACCCTGGAGGGAGAGCTCTGGGGGAGCAGCAGGCAAATGTAAGCTCGTGCCCAAGACAAGTGTATGAGCTTTCCCTGCTTTCTCCATGTCTCGGTCTGAACAGTTCAAGTGGGAAGCAATTGGGAATGTTTCTAGCTTAATAAAATGTGAGGAGAAACTGGAGGCTGTGAGTTTGGGAGGTGCAGTGGGTCTGGGGAAGTGCTGCCCCCCCGCTTCACATTCCTGTCTGCTGCCTACCTTGAAGTGCTGGAAGCCTGTATTTTTCTTCCTGAACCTGAGATAAGAATATCCAATAAAAGCCACAATTCCGGCAACCAGGCAGATACCAAAGAATATTCCTGTCCCTGTCCCAGCATGGAGAGGAGCCTGCAAGCAAGAGAGAGGGTGAGTGAGCTACGAGTGGCACTGGTCATCTTCCAGCATCCGAGCACACGCAGTGTCCCTTTGAGATATGCCCTAGGCCTGAACGGCTTTTGTGCTCGAGTTTCCTGGTACATGCTCCCTAGAGACAGTTAAATATGGCCTTTTGATAGTAATGACAAGCTAGATTTTTTGGGGGTGCTGGACATTGCCTCTCGTTCAGCTTTGTCTTATGTTCTTGATGCTAAAACTTATCACTTAGTGTGCCTAAGTGATGTTTTCTGGTCAAGTTTTTCAAAGTTGCAATAGAGGCTATGATGAATTTGAAACCTCACTGGCCTGAGGAGGAGAAATGGGTACCAAATTCCCTTAAGCAGCTTTGGAAACCTGTGCCACAAACCCTAGAAGGCTCTGCATGGGTTCAAGCTTATTTCCCGCTGCTTTGTGCACTGGGGAGGCATTGGTTATTGCCAGCTATTGGCAGCAGTACCATCCTCTGAGCCCTGCTTACCAGGGCTCCAACCAGACCGCACCCGAGATGAGGCCCATCTCATCACTGGCCAGAGGGACTGCTGGCCTGGGCAGAGGGTGTGCGGGGCTGGGGTCCGCCAGTGGCCCAGCACCTGCCTTCTGGAGGTTCTTTTGCCCAAAACATGCAATGCCTTTAACCCAAAATCATTCCTTGGTGAAGCAGGTAAAGTGCCAATCCAAGTAACTGTATATAATATTTTGTAAATATTTTAATAAAAATGTGTGTGAAGGACTGAAAGAAATTCACGTGTGATCTGGATTTAATCTAAATGGGAGAAATGCCTCCAGACTCTGACTTTGGTTTGCTTTCTGCAGCTCTGGGGCCTGATAGACTGGTATTGTGAAGGTAACCAGCAGTTTTGGGGTGATGATAAGTTTGAGGGATCCCAGGGCATGCAGCCGCTCAGGCTGCAATCTCCCCAAAACACTGTGCTCTTTGCTGGCAATCTGGGAGGTGAAGAGGGGTCTGGAAATGGGTAGAAGATTCATACGCTGTTACTCTTCTTTTCCATGTGATGCCTTAGCTCTGTGACATCCTGCCTAGAAAATGAATTATTAAACTTACCCTGGCAAAAATAATCACATTGTTGTCTTAATAGTAGGCTGCAAGGGATTTTTGTGAACCAAGATTGTACAGGTGTATTACTGAGCGTCTAGGAACAAAAAAGCTGATTTGTAAAGGAGAAAGGGTTGGTCAGAACAAAATGGAGGTGAGAAATAGGATTAATCTTGTGGACCAAGGAGGGAGCCAGTTAGCCACTTCTGAAATCAAAGCTGGCGTGGATGAGCTGTAAATGTGAGTGAGGCCCCTCCAGTGCACAGAGAGAAGGATCAGAATGAGTTACCCCAACGTAAGGGAAGTTCTTCAGATTAAATACGTGGTGGGTCTTCTTGTAAGGTCAGCTTGAGCCTATGTTGGGCTGTCATGGAGTACCCTGCATGGAACACAGCTGGGGACCACTAATGCTGCACATCTGAACACTTCCTTCGTTAAGGAAAACATTTTGTAGTGGAAAAAAAGGTGCTCACTGCGCACCTCTTCCAGGGGCAGCGGGGGTCACTTCTGTGAAACATCCCAGTTGCACTGCAGGTGCAAAATGTGTTTTCCTTCCTTTCATTCAAAGCAGTAAACTTTGATGGTGGGAAATAAACGGAAAAATGTTCCTGGCTCCCTGCTTCTGGACCCTGTACCCTTTTGATTCCAGCCTGAAGCAGCGCAGCTGCTAACTCGCCTTCACGGAAAGGATGGCAACCCTTTCTGAGCTGGGCTATTTTGCCATGCACAGTTTGGTTTGGTCTTTCCAATGGGAGAGATAATTGGGTAACTGGGACCATTGCAGGGATTCATGCAGGCAAAAAATAGCTATTTTCAAAACATCTTGTTGTTTTGGATAGAAATGACTGCAAAGCCAAGAGTAAAAAAGTTTTCATTAGAAGTTTGAAAGATCTTTTTGGAAGAACTGAAACGGAGCTTTGTAAAACCTCCATTACAAAAATGAGCTTCATTATAAAATGGAGCTTTTATTTTATTTATATGAAATAAATGTGGGAAGAACTTATTCAGACAGAAACATTTTGAATAAGCTTCACTGGCACCTTGTTCTCGACTTTTAATTCTCTTTCAAAGTAACCTTTTAAACCAAAACTGCATATAAGGGATGGAAACTGGGAAAGATGAATGTCAACAATGAGTTTGGGATGATATAAGCCATAGCCACCTCCCACCACCCAAAAAATAAAAATCACTGTGTACTCACAGGTGCTGGTGGAGCCTTTAAAGGCTCTGAAATGACGTGGACTATCCCGTTGGAAGCGATTATATCCCACTCAACGATAGCACTTCTGTCCACATATCTGATCTCGCTCTACCACAAAAAGAGCAATGAGAGCTGAGCTTTGACCCTCCTCCCTTTGGAACTGAAATAAACCTTGAGACTATGTCCCCACCTCAGTTACTGACACGCAGAGAAAAAAATCACATGGCGGCTTACACCACTGTCTCCCTGGACATCAGCCTGGGCTGGCCCTAGGCTGGTCATTGCTCTCCTGTGTATGAAGTAGCCATCATCATTACCTGCATGTTGCCTTCAGGCATTTCTTTGTCCCCCTTTTTTTTAAAAAAAGTATGTATTTTAATAAAGGTTTTTGTGATGTTTGTGCCATTGCCAAGCTCTGCCTAGGAGTGCTGTTCCTCCTGAGTGTCCTGCAGCCTGTCTCCCTTACAGCTGCTTTCTGTGCCAAGGATGCCACTTGCACTGAGTTTGCTGGCTTGAGAGACCTGGGTCAGCACTGATGGGGAGCAGCTGCCCGCAGTTTATTTGGTGGCTTCGCAGCTGTGAGCTGGAAGGTGGGCTCATTTGGCAACTTATCAGGAAGGGAGAGGGACGGGGTCAGTCATTGCCACCCCACCACTTCTCTAAACTCTGCTGATAATGGGAGTGCTTGACTGCTTTGGGCTGGTCCTGAGTCTCTCCAGCCTGTGTCTGTGTTTTGGGAGCATGGGTTCATGGGCATCTACACTATTGCAAACTCTGCTTTAAATTGCATCCTAGCAAAATGGTTTCTCCTCTGTGAGCAGAACAAGAAGTTGCTACCCACTCTTGCCCCCAGCATGAGGTAGTGTGCTACTGCTGGAGCATATGGTGACTTTCTGTGTCCAGGGAGCAGCTGTGGTGGCACTGTGGAGTGATGCTGGAGTCACCTCATGTCTTCCTCCCTCTCCCTCATCCCTGTGCTACCCTGCCAGGGTCCTGGGGAAAGCTTGTGGGCTCCGACCTGATGTGCTGGGACAAGTGGGTGCTTGGCTGCCAGGAGATGTGTGGAAAGCAGCTGCCACCTTTCCTTCCCACCCTGGTACCCCACTGAGTTTTATTGCAGCTGGGAGAACCGAGGGCTTCCTCAGGTCCTCCAGGGAGGAAGAAAAGCCACAAATTTCCAACCAGCTTTGAAGGGCAGGAGCAAGATTTGTGTTAATGGGTTCAGAGCCTCCCCTTGGCAGCTTTTGAAGAAGGGAGGATTTTTTTTTTTTTTAAGGAGAATGTCTTCTAACTCAAATATCAGATCAAAGTGATCCGAAAGAGCTCCTGGCATGCTAATGAGTGATACAGGTAGGCCTTGTGCTGGTGCACCCGATCTCTCACAAGGGTATACTTTTTAAATGCAATTACTGGGTTTGCATTATAGGGTGGTTTTAAAAATATAAATGGTAATTCTTATGCCAAAGGAATTTCTCATAAAAGGGGGAAGAGGAAGGGACCAAAAGCAACAGATGAGTCACTTGTGCACCTTGTCCTGCAGCACCTGTTTCCTTCTTGTTGGTGTCTGTTAAAATTCCCCCCACAGCTGGCATGTTGGGCACTCAACATTCCTTGGGACCAGCACCATTCTCTAGAGCACATTTTAACTGCAAGCCCATAGACACTGGGGTTCTTATTTTAATTTTCAGCTATACAGCATCACCCACAGCAAAGTCCCAACCTTGGTCTCGAGGGGTTGCTGTCACAGAGGTCATTTGAAATGCTTGGGCAGTGAGTATATTCTGAATAAAAAAATGAGAAGTTGGGTGTGTTTTCAAAGGATACTTTCCATTTGCAAAAGGATATTCAATTTTTTGAATTAAACCCCCCCTGAAATAGTAATAAAAAATGCAAACCACTGTTTTGTCTGCTTTTGCTCTGAGCAAGTCTATGCTGGCATCTCCTGCCTCTCCCAGAAAGTTACCAAGAAACTTTACAAACACCAACACCTTTCTTTAATGATAAGCTGCTGCTCTCCTCTCTCCTCCTATCGCACTGCCATCTCCCATAATCCTGCCACGCTGAGAGAAGGGTTGAATCAAGCCTGTATCCCCATCCTGCCGTTCCTGCAGGCCACCTGAACAACTTCCTTCAAGTTTTGTGGGTCAGAGCTTGGCCATTTGCAAACTCGTAAATTTGCAGTTTGCCAGCTGCTGTCTGCAGGCTCTGGGTGCCAAAGAGCCTTCTGAAGTCAGCCTCTCATTGCTGCCCACTATAACCTTACCAAATTCCTCTCTGGATCAGTTGATTACAGGGTGTAGCATAAGGGAGGAAAAAGCATGAAGATGGGAGATTTATTAAAAAGGTACCTGTTCAAGGGTGGGGGCTTGATGTTCTTGGCCCCTGGTGTTTGTAATGAGGAGTTTTTGCCCTAGACGAGTTAGAAGAGTGGTTCCATTTGTCAAGTCCTCATAAAACATCATGCTGGCATTAGATAAATGATACTCGATGTCTCGCCCGGAAAGTGTCTGCAAATGAGAGCAAAATACAAGGAATGTTAACTGATCTTATTAATTCTCTGGATTTACCAGTAGGCTAAGTGCCTGTGACCTTTTTCCCTCTTTGCTATTAATGCTGCAGCAAGTGCAATATGGGGTAGAAGCTACTGGGAAATCTGGAAGCGAACAGTGGGATCTTCTGTCCCCGCTGGCCCCTGATGGCTGCCTGCAGCAGGCAGCACCTTGATTCTGACAGGACAAAAGATTTTACTCTTTTGTACGATGACCTGAAGTGTTGAGCCTCAGAGATTTTCCGAACAGCCTGAAGATGCAAGCCAAGGCATAAACCCATGTGAATTGTTTGAGACGATGATTGATTGAAGGAAGGAAAAAAGGGATAAGCGTAGAAATGAAGCTAGGAACAGATGCCTTTAATGTTATTTGTGGGAAATACCAAAGGTATGCACTGCTTTCTTCAAATAACTGTGCTTGATGTTAATAAGCCAGAATAGACTTCATCTCAGGCAGACTCCTTTATAACTGGATAACTAAAATCCCTGATGAAAAAGTCTCTATAGTGACTTGAACACTCAATAACCTTACACTCCTAACTACGGAAAAGAAACGGAACTCACTTCTTTCAGAAGCACAATTTAAACTATGTGGGGTTACACAAAGTCATGTCATACTAAGACTATTTTTTTTTTAAACCTAAATTTCACCAGGATACACAAACCTCTAATGGATGTTTAAAAAGTGTTATTAAAAAGAGGAAGGAACAAATTTATAAACCCTGACCTCATTTTCCCTTAACCCGCTGTCGTTTGGAGCAAAGAGAGTGGCTCGCACTGACAGATCCGTAAGGTACCGCAGGAACTCTCTCCCCTTCCTAGAGCTGTTGGAGTAAGCCATGATGTCCTAGGCAGAAAGAAAATCCAGCTTTACTAAAGAGCAATTGTGTGCTCCTGTGAGGGGAGCTGAAAAGATGAGACTCTATAAGTGATGACGAAGAAGCTTTCTATTAACAGTCACAAAGCAACTCTGGAGTGATAATACAGAAGAAGTTTGTGTTCAAAACCCAGTTTTAGCTGCTGATTTGGTGAGCAAATCTTAAACTGACTTGCAGGAGTTGGGACCTTGTTGTCTGTAAGGCTCCTTACACATATAATGCCTTTCTGAGTAATGGCAAGAAAGGGACCCTTTTAATGCTTTGCCTTTTTCCCAAGCAGCAATTCAATAAAATGACAAAAAAAGCACCATGTTCCTTGTGATGCTTAGAAAGCCAGGAGCAGTTGTGCACAGAATCTTTAAGCTAAAACTGCAGTGGCGTTCCATTTCCAAATGAATTTTTAAAAACCCAAAACCTCTTTAGAGCAAGCAATTGAAAAAAATAGTGAAAAAGTTCTGATTTTGACAGTGCAGATTTAGACCACTCTACCTTGCTTTGCTGGTGTGGTGTTTTTACCTGCTAGTAAAGCAAACACTGAGACAGAACCCGGTGGCAGAGCCTGTTCGCTCCGCTCACCCAACTGAGGAGCACGCGAGCTGTGGGCCGTACCGACAAGAAGTTTGTCAGCGTTGGGAAGGACATCAGCACTTGCAGCAAGTTCCCGCTGCAGGAGAAGCCGTCCCCCACGTAGCCTGGTTTGCAGGTGCAGTTCACCTCTGGAAGGTACAAACAGGGATAGCTGCGTGGGCAAATGCCCTTTTCAAGAAGGCTTTAGGCTGCCCTGTGCCTGAAAAACAACTCGCAGGCAACAGATTTTTTTTTTTCTAAAGGTAAAAAGAGGCAGAGTCTCTTGGAGTGTTATCTAGCAGACCGTGGCTGACCAAAGGAACAGAAATCCAGGCTGCTGCTCCCCTTTGCGCAGAGGGATGGAGCAAAGGACCCTCTTACCTTTTTCCCTGTAGCAGAATACATCCCAGGTTTCACTCAGGTTGACTCTTTTCCCATAGTCCACGATGCCAACGTACCCAGCGCCGCAGTTTGGGGAGGAGAAGGCAGTCGGATAGCCCACTCTTTCTCCATCTAGCCAGCCGGCAGCACACAGGTGATACCTTGCCTGCAGCCAGCACAACCATAAGGGAAAAAACACAGAGGGAAGAGCTGGGTGGTGGGGCTGGGGTGCTGTGGATGAAATGAAAAATCCCCCCAGGGTGCCTAGGCAGCACCCAACCTGCCAGGGCTCTTTCTGAGGGTCTGAGGGGGTCTCTGTCCATCTGTTCATCCGGCAGCTTGCCCTGTGCTGAGCTTGGTGTCAAGGGGCTGTGGAGGCAGGAGCCCCTCTGAAAGTCAGTGGCTTGCCGTATGGACCAAAGGAGCTTTTCTTGGGAAAAGCTTCCCTGAGCCCAAAGCCAGACAGGATCAGAGGTGGGTGTGAAAGCCAAAGGGGATGTGCAATCCCATTGTGTGCCAGCCCACCTTTTGTCAGCATGGGAAGGGCTGACAAACCAGCTCAAAGTAGAATATAAGTCCCCAGGAGCGCTGGAGCCAGCCCCACTGCTGACTTTTCTGCTTCAAGGGAAATATTTAGAGTACAGGGCACAGGGAACATGCAGCTCCGGCTCCAATCTGAATGTTCTCAGGCAGCAGAAGGAGGTTTACATGCTGGCTGTGGTCCTGCCTCACATTTTGGTAAAGGTGCCTCTAAACAGTGAGCATCTTCCTTCCTTCCACAGATGGGAAGGAGCCAGAAAGACACAGTTAGTCTGACCCACTCTTCTAAACCAAGTTTTACAAACCCAAGGTGTGATGCTCATCTCACTGATGTCAGCCGTGCGTTGTCTATAACACAGTCAAGGAAAAGAATACGGAAATGGGTCTGCTAACAGCATTTGGGGAAAAGATTCCTGGAACTTTACATTAAAAAAACATAAGTCTAGGCATACTTCTGAAGTGTACATTTCTTTAAAAAGTGCTAATATTGAAAACCCCATGAAAACACTCTGTAAGTCTGACTCTACCATCTCACCCCAGTATCACCGGAAACAAGAAATTGTCGACTGGTTTCAGTGCTGTATGAGCAGGCATGAAACCAATAAACAGTCCAAAACCTGCTCCCAGCCAAACATACCCTGGGACATGGGGGAAGGAAAGGAGGGAAAATGAAGCTTATTAGCACAGAGCAGCCCCCTTGCTCCTCCATCCCCATTTACGCTGTGGCTAGGTCCGCTCCAGGGGTCTCCTCCCGTAGCGAGGCTACCTCACCTTCTGCGCGTACAGCAGCTGGTTATACGTAGCGACGGTGGCTGACTCATTGGCACAGGCCTCCTTTGCCTTCTCATAAGTCATTTTGTACTGCCCTTGAGGGGACCGTAAGTGGAAAACCCCAACCGTGGTATCTGCAAAGAGAGAGAAGAACCAGCTCTTCCTGAAGGGGTTTCCATGTCTGGATGTGGAGTCAACTGTGCCATACAAATACCTGTGAATTTTGTGAAATGCAGTTAGGACAGATTGATCCCTTAGGGGTAACATTCCTACCTGGAATACCCTCATCTGTTGCTTCATAAATCTGGTATCGCAAAGAATGTAAGCACACGTTCTAACTTTATTCTTCTCATTTTTTCAAGGGCACGTAGGTAGAGGACTGCAAGAGCTTACAGACACAAGGATTCTGGCCATTGGCTTCAGTGTAGTGGCAAAGGGACGAGCACGTCCCTGTCCTGTGGAGTGCACGGTGTGCCACCCTCACCTTGGAAGTGGAGATCGGCGCAGTCAGCGTCGGGGTGGCACTGCCCGTTGTCTTGCAAGCAGCGGTCGAGAGGAAGCTGCATCACTGAGCAGTTCAGCCCATCACCAATGTAGTTATTTTTACATTCACACTTGCGTTTGTCCTGGTCAGAAAGAGAATAAAAGCCAAGCCAAGTACTTAGCTGACATAAAAGTGGTATTTCAAGCAACATTCTGAACCGTTGGAAAAATTTCACTTGATATAGCCAGCAATGGACAAACAGGAAAGTTGCTGCTAACAACTGTGATTCAACAGGCCACAAACTCTGACACTGGCATTTATTCTCCTAAGCAAAACATTTACACATGCACTTGGGTGATTTGCTGAATTAATACCAGAGCATAATTCCATCCACAAAGCTAATAACACGCATTGGAGAATTATATGGCACGTAATTAACAAAAATGGATGGCAAACCTGTCAAAATAGTATTTAAATGACTGGGCATGGAAGCATGAAAGGAATTCAGCAGCCTACTGATAGTAATAAATTTAGAACTATAAACCACATGGGTTGGTGACATCCAGGGATTGTGATGGTTGACAGCTGGAATGGATTAGCGGGAAGGCTTTTCTAGATAGCTCCTGGAATACACACCAGGCAAGCCACCGACATGGAACAGACAGGTGATCGCGAAAGCACCAGGATGAATGCTGGATCAAGTCACCGGCACAAGTTTTCCTCAACAACATTGATCGTGCGGGCCAAGGAATTTGTGGCTGCAGAGCTTTTTAAGCTCAGTCCGGCCAACCAACAAGTTACACTATTCTCCCAGCTGTCCCTAGGTTTAGCTACCAAAATATATTTAGTTTTAATCCAACAAGCTCCTATTGCAAATAGGGATATCCAGTTAGGGAGAGCTAAGAAGGCGACAGAAAAATTACACATGCAGAATATCCCATCTGCTGTAGTACCCCTTTCCCTAGAGCAAAGATACCAAACTGTTTCTCACCCCTCAGCTGAAAGGATACCAAACTGATGTGGAAAGTAGGCTGAAGCTATGTAAAGGTTGTTTTGGAAAACAGAGACTTTGCAAGCTATGGAGTGTGATCCAGCCAGAGAAGAGACTTCTGCTGGCACCAGGAAGGAATGCCTCGGACTTCCCTGCTGGTGACTGAAATCATTCAACTTACAGGTCCTATGACAGTGCAAATGGCATGCTCATGGCAGCCTCCATTGAACCCATCGGCGCAAGGATTTATTGGAAGACATGTGAAGCCATCTCCCTTGTATCCTTTCTGGCAGCTACAGAAGACCTTCACCTGGAGCTGAGTGCATTCAGCTGCCTTGTGACACCCACCGTTGTTTTGTTTGCAAAGGTCTGCAGCTGCACAGGGAAAAGAAAACAGAGGTGAGTAAAGTCTGCTTTTAAAGAGGATGTTCTTCATGAAAACAAACCATCTCCAGTTTTTTAAGGCACACTAAAAATGCTAGAAAACTTGTTTGGGAAAAAAACCTGTTTCGGTTTCCTGAGGCATTCCTAAACCTGTGTGAAAACTATCCTTTAGGGCTCTGAAGCCCTTGTCAGGGTGTCCTTGATTTAAGAGTCATGGCACCACCCCATAGACTTCTGGCCAAGGTGACTTTGCAGGATGCAAGACACCTGACTGAGAAAGAATGAATGTTTCTGCAGTGATGTCACCAGGGAACTGCCTTGCCTAAGGTCATCAAAGAAAATCTTGTAAGAGAAACCCTGCTTAAAACCCTGCTGTCCCCAAAACCTGACTGAAGTGCACTTCTTGCTCATACTCCTACTTGGTAAAGCCTGGTGAAGTCAGCCACCTGCTTTAGAAAAACTTGATCTATGTATATCCTAAATCTGTTTCACTTGCTGCACTGTGGAAGTTTTTAGGTTTGATAGCCAATATTTCATACTGGACAGTAACTGCATGCAGTAGCAATGGTGGCTGACTCATTGGCACAGGCCTCCTTTGCCTTCTCATAAGTTGTTTTAAACTGCCCTCACAGGGACCGTAAGCAGAAAACCCCAACTGTTGTATCTGCAAAGACAGAGAATAACCAGCTCTTGTAGCAGGTGGTGAATGGGAGAGGGGTCTCACCTACGCATATGATCCCATCCCCGTTGTAAAACGGCTTGCACTGACACGTGTTGTTCTCCATGCAGACGGCATTGGTGGAGCAGCTCGGGGAACACTCTGGCAGCACAGCTGTGGGGAAGGCACAACAGCTGGGATGAAAGTGCTATTTATATTGCAATGCCCTTCTTTCACACAGAATGAAAAGCCATCATAGCTGTCTTGCTAACTGGAAAACCTGTAATAATATTTTTTTTGACTGCTTGGTTCTTGGGTGATACCTTCCCTCGCATAGCCCAAAGCCCCTCCACAGTGGAGGTAGGCACTCATATTCCCATTGCACAAAGGAACAGACAGAGGGAAAAGGGACTTGTTCTCAGTCCAGTCAGAATCCCTTAGTCCCCTTTGAGGGCTTCTGATGTCATTAACCCTTTCTTCTCTACACAAACCCTCTGTTGAATTGCAAGTGCTTTCAACCCGTGGCTCCATGCAATGGAGCCCAGTGAGAGAAGGTAGAGACCTAGCTTGGTTTCACACAGCCGGCCAGTCCATCCTGTTTCACAGAAACATCGTCCCGTTCCTGAATATCCTTCATCACATTGCCCATTGGTCTTGCATTCACAGGCTGCAAAAGGAACGCAGAGGGATCACTTACAGAGCTGCTGTTGGGAAAGGGGAAAATTTTTCTCTAGAGAAACATCACCTAGACTGTCAGTTTAGACATGGTATTATCCAGCAATAATTTAGATAAGTGTAACCTCATGTTTTTTCACCATGAAGCCAGTCACTCAGAGGACCAGACTGTTGAGAGCAGTTGGGCAGTCTCCAGCCTTAGAGGTTTGCAAACCCTGACAGGATAAATCCTGAAACACCTGGTCTGAGCTCAGGGCTGACCCTGCTTTGAGCAGGGGCTTTGGACTAGAGACCTCCTGAAGCCCCTTCCAACCTGAATTATCCTGCGGTCCTATGATTTTATAACTGGCATTACCTCAATGTGCCTCTGAAAATGAAAATAAGTATTGATCTGCATTGTGGTAGAGTAGCAAACTTCACAAAGAACTGTGGCAGGAAAGAGTTAATGGCTGAGCTGAAGACCCAGCCTGATCCTGTCCTAATGTGCAGCAGCTGCTAGCTGTGGGGAAGCCAGAGAGAAGGCAAGTGTGTGGCGGGAGAGCGTGTGGTTGCTGTGTGGGAGAAGGTCTACCTGAGTAAAGGAGCCAATATGAGGTTAGTGAGCTTTGCTGTAAAACATGGGCAAGTTACCTGACATTTTTTTTAGGTTTTAGATATTTTTATGACTAAAAGCTTCTGGATTTCTTCTGTTCCTTTTATATATGGGGTGTTACTCCTTGTGCCCTGCAAACTGAGGCATGAGGGGCTGATTTAATCTACAGGTGATTTTTTCCCCCCACCCTTTGGACCCTGCGATAACTTACATGCTGAGTTCTTCTTGAGGAGTTATTGATAGTTCTCTGTTTTATAATGTAATGAAGTAGTATCCTTTCTTGCCTTATCCCTCTTCCTGATATATTGTTGTTTAAAGAGGAAAATGATGTGGGATTGGAGGAACTGATTCTCTGAAAACCTGTACTGCTGAAAAGGAGCTTCACTGGCTGGCTTGATTTTATTTAGCCTGGTTACCTGCCTCATGAGCACTATAGGTGTGCATGGCTAGGATGGGAGGGTTGATGTTGTAGCTTCCCATCTGAAGGGTTTATGTTGAGGAAAACATTTAAGTTTAAAGGGTGACATTGATCCTGCTTCCACCTAGTTTACGTTTAAAACCACTGGGAAGTGGATTATGGCTGCTGTCCCTCTTCACAAACTGCCTTCATCTCAGTGTCATTTTTCTTCTCTTCTGAAAAAGTAGTGCATAGCCTTGGCCTCCTGCAATCCTTGAGGAACCACATTGCTAAAATGCTGTCTTAACCTTTGTGGGGATGGGGGAGAAGGCTGTGCTGTAGTTTAAAACACCTGATGGAGGCTCTGTGTCTGTTCTGTTACTTATGTACATTAATACTGCTACTAATGTATGGAATTAGGTATATAAGAGTAGGAGGAGCCCTGCAGAGGCAGCTACGTAAGCCTCTGCCCCCCTGCCTTCTCCTCCTCCCTTCTGAGGCCTTGTGCCATCCCTCTGTGTGAGGAGCCACCCAGGAGAAAATGTCAGCATTGAAAGCAGGAAGCATTTCTTGGTTTACTTAAAACTCATGGCTGATAAAAGAGTTTGGAATTGACATGGGTATCAGTATGGAAAGGAAACTTAAACATACGCCTGCAGTTGGAGCCGTATCTGCCTGGCAAACACAGCTCACATGAAGTCCCGTTGAAGCCGCTATTGCAGTGGCACTCTCCTGTCCCGGTGTACCCATCATCACAGGAGCCGTGGTTGTTGCACGGGGTCTCTGGGCCCCCTGGGCAAGCTGAAAGGTTTTTTTTTAAAAAAAAAAAAAAAAAAAAAAGTGGCTCTTTAGCTCAGATGCATGTTTATTCATTGTCACCGATGGTTACTTATTGTCCTGTACGACTCCTTGAACAAGGAAATGCCTGTAAATGCATCTCTGTTGGGGTGTGTAAAAGCGGCTGTGGCACTTGTGAGTGCAAGCCTTGTGCTGCTCCAAATTCCTTGACATAGTTGCACAACTCCTGTCAGAACGGTGTTGCAGACCTTTCCAGCCCTGGCTTGTGGGTGCTGTTACCTGACTGCTTGTTCATTCGGACCCATCAGTGAATGGCACTGCCCAGCCCCTGCCCAAATCCAGCCTTGCTTGTGCATCTCCATGTGCCTGCATGCTGCTGGGGTGAACCCAAAGGGTGGCCCAGGCTGGGCTGGCCAAAATTGCATCGGATCTGTCTGTGAAATCCATACAGAATGAGCTGGCAGGGCTATGTGTCCCTGGACCTCTCTGCCAGCAGATATCCTGATCCTATGTGCCCTGGTGAGAGCCTCAGTACTATTTCCCCCATGGGGCTGGCAGGTGAAGGAGCACACAGTTCGTTAGTGCCTGCTAGCAAACAGCTGGAGATAAAGCTTCTTAAACTGTCTCACACCTGTTCAAAGCCACAATTTCTGATCTTACTCCACTGGTGTGTGCACTTGCACCTGGCTGGGGAATCATACACTGTGTCTCTGGTGTGTCCTGGTACCACCGCCATGAACCTGATGTCTGCTTGTGCTGAAAGGACTTTCAGCTGGTCATCAATTAAGACTTGGTTATAGTAGGGCAGCCTTTACTCTCTATAGCATTCACTTAGTTTGCTACTAGCATGGAGTTTAAAACTTGCTGTAAGTATGAAAAAAGAGATTATTTGGAGTGGAAAAGCAATAATACTTTCTGTGTCCTTCAGCTCTTGCAACAGAGTTCCCCCATTTTGTGGCCGGTCTCTCCTCGTGCCCCTGTCCCAGCTCTCGCAGTTCAGCCTGCCGGGTGCTACGCAGCTCTGCTGGGGGAGGTCAGGGGCTGGGGGTGGGGAGGGGGGTCCTACCTTGGCAGTCTGGCCCGAAGTAGCCCTTGCAGCACTTGGCCGTGTGGATGACCATGGAGCAGTTCCTTCGGCAGCCGTACCTCTGCAGCCCATAGGACTCGTACGTGCACAACTGGATCCCTTCCTGGGCGTCACATGTGTCAGCGTGGAGAGCGGGCGGGCGGGGAAAAAAACACACGAAGATGAGTGCTATGTGGAGGTTTGGGTTTTTTCCTCTTTAAATCACAGTTTCTGATGTACATTGAATCAAAATGTGATGTGTGAAGAGTGCAGGTGTGAGGCCTCCACCTTCTCTTTGGTTCCTGACTTGCCAAACACCATTAATGAGGATGGAGGGGCTGCTCTGAAGTCAACCGAAGCACTTGCTACAGTGGATGCTGTGCGAGACCAACAAAGCATCCCCTGCCACCAGCACCTGGGTGTTTGCCCAGGGACAGCTTTGTCCCTGAGGCTTTATGGCATCGATTAACAGTGTGGTTTCGCTGTTGAGGGTTCTGTTTTTATTTTTTCAAAGGAACTTATTCTAGTTTTCCTGTGTGAAGTACAGAGGAGAACAGGTTAGACTGCTTAAATACCAGCTTTTAATGTATTACCTTTAGTTTTGTCCCTGGAGGGCATTTTGAATTACTGAAACAGCTGTCACAATGCCCCTGTTGTACAAAATAGAAAAGAAAAAAAAAAGTGTGTTAAAATAATGGCAACAAAAGGCTATTTGACATGGACAAAAAGTCTGTTTTATGAAAGCAGCAAATATGAGGAGAGTGTAGGCTTATTACATTTGAAACAGATTATAAAAATCTCTGGAGGAAGGAGAATGATAACGAAGTAGTTACAATAATTTAGTGCCACAAAATTCAAGAAAATAGTTTTGATACCAGAATATAAGTTCTGGAAGAAGAAGCTTTGCTCTGGATTTAAACAAGCAGGGAAGAGATGGTGAATATTCTTCAAACAAATATTAATGTAGGCTGCATGAGATCTAGATGTCTAATCTGGAGCAAAGGTAAATGGTTACTTCTTGGGAAGTGCTGACCGGATCTTAGAAAATTATATCTATTTAAGTTAATTTAAAAAAATCGTGAAACAAAAGGTAACTTGAGCAGATGGGATACACACAAGTGTTGGTTTTATAATTGAAATATAAATTCCAAGAAGCTTTTTTAAGACTGCTTGAAAATTTTTTTACTTCTAGGTAATTTTTTCATACATTTGAATTAAACTGAAGTAATTTGGTACTGAAACCATTTCAAAATGGGTTTCAAAGCTTCCTGCTTGTGGGACCCACCAAAGGTCACAGAGGAAACTTCCTCCACACTAACAGTGCCTGTTCAGGTTTGTTAAAGCATATTTCTGTGAAAGCAAGAAATGTGAGAGACCTGAGAGCCTGGCTAACAGACTAGGCAGTTCTGTCTTGTGTCCTTAATACCCTGTGCGGCTGGGACAGCAGCGCTGTTCCTTTGTAATTGGGAACTTTGTAAATGCAATCTGGATGACCAAATTCATAGTGTGAATTTGTACTACTTTAAAAGCATGACAGGAAGACCTGTCCTTGCTCAAATTTATACTTGCATTTCTAAGCTACTGTTCTTATTGAAAACAAAGCAGGGCTCACTAAGCTGGTCTTAACTGAAACCAATTGTCCTGTGTGGTGCTTAGTGTGGATATAGGATTTCTGTTGTGTATATTTTGGGCGTTGTGCATCTTTTGGGCATTGTGCTGTGCTTCTTAACCTTAACTGTAACCTGTGTGGTGGATGAAGCTAGCCTGAAGTGGTGGGACTTAATCTTGGTAGTGCCAAAGCTGCTGAGAGTGTTGCCCTGGTCTCTGTGAGGACAGGGTTTGGCCCTTGGGCTGTGTCTTTGCCAGGTTGCGTGACCAAAAAAGGGGACTGACCATGAAATCCACAGTGAAGAAGCTGTCGCAGCGTCCCCCCAGGCTGGGGTCCATCAGCAGGCAGTTGATGCCATAGGCGATGCCCCCGTCAAACTCCAGCTGCCGCTGCACTATCTTGCACTGTCTGTCATTCAGGAAAAGGGCACCCTGAGAGACGGGATGAGGAGAGGGAGGCACGACAAGTCATGAGCCGGTCTTCCTTGGGGCCAGGCTGAATCCAGGGCTTGAATGGGAGTTGGAGGTAATCGTCCCCCTGTAAGAATGCTCTTGGTGCAAGGTGGTGTGCCAAACTATCCTATAGATAACAGTGATGGCTGTAGGGGCTCAAAACCAATTTGGGGACCTCTTTTCCTATAACTGAATGCTGTAACCTCACAGATGGGCAGATCTTTTTCCTTTCTGGAAGGGGACAGATTATGCCAGCCCTATGTCCACAGGTTTACCTTATGCATGTTTAGGCTTAGTCATATCTTCAGAGGCAGATGCTTGCTGGGTATGATCTGATACATTTGCAAAGAAAAAAATGGCTTTGTTCTGGCTTAACAGGCTGCATGCATGCCTGCAATCTTAGCTTGTAAGTGCTTAGAAACCAGAGTTTGCATGCAGGTGCTGCATTCGTGGGCCTTCTGCCAAAGCCATATTCATCTTCATTGTTTTCCATTGCGTATTTCATTGTAGAAGTAATTAAAATGTGTTGATATTTCAGTTTTGAGGTAACTGAGAGCTGTTTTGAACAAATAGCACCTTACAACAGAGAAAATAACAGTTCCAAAGAGTCCTGCAAAACACCTACTTTGCCAAATCTGTTAGAGGTGACTGCCCTGGTTTTGTGACTGTTGGCATGGACTGGCAAAGACCAGTTGAGTTTTGGCACCACTGACTCTTTCAGGGGGCTGTGCACAGGCACAGTGGGGTCTGCACGAGTGGATCCCACAGCAGGGGCAAGGGGTATGTCTGCTGGCAGAGCAACACTTACAATCTCCCCATTATCCCCACAGCTAATGCTGAGGTTGGAGCCCTGCAGGGTCCTCAATGAGGTGGAGCGGGGGAGCTGGTAGGCCAATACCTGGGAAGGAAACAGGAGATGCACGTGTCTGAGCTTGCATGTCTTGGCCTTCGCAATGCTCCTAAAAAGCAAGGGCTTACCGCAGCATCACGGACTATGTGGAATTTGAGGTATTGCACTAGTTTGTCAGTGTTGGACTTCTTGAAGAGGAAGTCCTGCTGCTCCTGTGGCAGCCCACGGATAGCTGCGTCTGTGGGCCAGAAGAGTGTGACGGGTTTGTGAATGGGATCGTTGATCAGCCCAAGCAGGTTGTTTTTCTGCAACATAACAAAAATTGGGGCAGAGGATTAATGCTCCATGTAAAATGACATTGATGCTATGGAGTGAAAGTCTCGTGTAACTGGGATGCAGTGGCCTGTGGGTTGCCTGGTCATCAGCCTGCAAACACTTTACAAACCAGATGCCTGAGTTGAGCTGCTCAAGTTGAGTTACATGACTGAATTCTCAGAAGTGCTTCATCACCCAGGGCTGCCTGCTGAAAACCAGGCTGATGGCCCAACTTTGGGCTCAAAAAGTCATACTTGGGTCAAACTTTGGTCATGTAATTTGACATACGGTAGGACAGAGCTGTGTGGGGAGGGGAAAGGTAGCTGTGGGTCTGCTTGACATCCCCTCACCTCTGTGGGAGAGGGACCATGTGGTGATCAGGGTGATTGTGTACTGTGCTGTGAGCCTTTTGACTCCACTAAACACCATCCTGCCAGTGATGCCCTGTGCCATGTCTGTGCTTTTGTCTTTAAAAAAAGTGTCTAAAACCTTTGCCCAATGGCTGCTGTCTCTTGTGTCCTTACCTCAAGCAAACTGCTGAACAGGATGTATCCATGTTTGGCTGCAACCATTTTAAGGCTTTCCTACAAAGACAGGAATTTCAGTAATTTATCTATATTATATGGGTATTTAAAAAGCAGATATTAGCTTGATTTTCCCTGTAAGTCACTTCTTGTTATGAAATCAAAACCACTATAAAAGCCTGGTGCAGAATTCATCCTATACTGTTCTTACTATAACAGTAATTAATTTAAAATATAACGTTTAATTTATTCAGCAGTGTCAAACAATGTTTGCATAAGGTCTTTTAGTTTTTGTGACTTACATGATTTATGTATCTAACAGTAACTGTGGAAAAGCCCCTCAGTTGAGAATGGCAATGAGCTGCACATACCTTCTTAAGGGGGAAATCCTGCATGTGTGGTGGAACCAGAATTTGGTTTATGACATGGATCACGCCATTTGTGCAAACAGCATCGCTGAATATAATTTCAGCTTTGTTATTCAAAACCAGCGAGTTCTGGAAAGGTAACAAAAACATGTTTTCTGTGGAACCTTGTGGGAGGGTGAGCCTGATGCCAAATTTCCATGATATGGTGAGCCCAGACTATCATTTCTTTGCAGCAAACAGTAGCTGCAACTTTAAGAAATTGCCTTTTGCTTTTTCATACTCTTATCATGCTGATAAAGCCAAAGTCTGAGGATAAAATAACTTGTGTCAAAGCAAGGGTTGTACAACTCCACCCTTGGCATAGCAGGTAAGTGCTGAACACTTCAGGGGAACGGGCAATCTTCTTTTAATGCTATTTATTTATTTTTGTGCATCAGAGGAGGAAAGGGAACCATTTAGGTTTTTAAAAAAAGCTGAGTGAGAGCAGACTGTTTTATTATTCTGTCCCTTGCCTCTTCGTGCTCTGTTACCTGAGAGTAGCTGATGTGTAACAGGTCCCCGTGGAGAGACGTAATGTTGATGATTTTTATCAGGTCGTTGTACAACAGACTGGCACAACCCACCATATGGTACCGGAGGACCTGAGCCATCACTCCTTTGGCAACCCAGTCCTTGACCTGCAGCAGAAAGTGGAGGAGTTGAGCAGCAGTTGAGCAAGGCATCTGAATCCAAAAACTCATGGCCAACTCACCAAAACCTTCTGGCGTTCTTACTTACTCGTGGGTCGCTGTTTAGTACATCTGTGTGAGGTACAAACAGAGTGAAAGGGCCAGGGCCTGCGATATCTGTGATAGAGAAGGCCTGCCAAATTTAAGAGGACAAAGCAGTAGTGAGTTGTTAATGTGCATCACGTCACGCAGCGATGGGACCAGCCCTGCTGAGTGGGAGGTGGTGCCTGCATCCCCGTTGCTGCCGCGCATTAGGTTCCCTTCCCTGAAATGCGAGGGTGAAAGAAACTCTCTTGTATGCTGTGGACTTTCCTTCCCAGCCCCATCTGTCACCTCTGCCCACAGGTATAAAATGGAAGATTTTTCTCTCTGCTCTTTCAGTTTACAGCCAGGTCTCCGTTTCTTCTGCAATGATGAACAGAAGAAGAGGGAAAGCTTGCAACAAACACTCCGTGTAGGAGGGATATTCCCTCCTGGGCAATGGAGAATGAATAAACCCTTTCATCTTGAGAAAGGCAAGAGTAGATAGTATACATGTGTTTGTACATGCATTTAGCTGATACATGGTTGCTTGTACCTAGGAGTAGATTAATTACTGTTAGAGGTACTAATGGACCTGAGGTATTGCAGGTACTTTGCAATGACCACTGGCAAACTAAAGAGAGCTCTGCTCAAGTGGGAGGAAGCCATCCATCTACCATGGTAGTGGAATCGAAGCTAGAATATGAGCCTTTGGACTAGCAGGCCGTTAAACAGATCTGTGCTACCCTGAGGCTTGGGGTGAACAGAGAATGACTACTGCCAGTCTCCAAAAGGCAGTGATAACTGGCAGTGCACACCAGCCATCTGGCAACACACACAGCATCCTGCGAGGTTGCAGAGGGGCAACTGAAAACAACACTGCAGTTTGCTACCCCTGCTGCATTTCCAAAAGAGTGGTATTTGCTCACATCAGACTTCATGAGAGATGTGCTGGCAGATCTCAGGCTGTGAATGTGTGAAAGCTTCAATTTTATGTCTGTTCTGGAAGCCCTACATTTCCCTGGGATCTTGGTCTTGATCATTAATACTCTAGAGGTTTTAATGGCAGTTAATAGTTTAAATTAGAGTATCTCCAATATTAGTGACTAATGATCCAAATCCAGTCCCAATTAAGTTGAAGGATGCTGGTACATGCCAGATTCTTGCCTGTTCCCCACCCCCCTACACTCTTGAGGCAAAAAAAAAAAAAAAAAAGGAAAAAACCAAAGAAACCCTTTTCTTACCTCTAAGTGGAAATAAAACCTGGACATGTTGGAGTCCCTGAGAAGTTCCTGCAATCAAGAACAAGACTTTGTAGCAGTGCTAAAAATGTGAGGCAACATCTGTGGGACTCAAACAAATGCAGTACTCGGACAAGAAAGGGAACTTCTGGGTTGGAATAAATGCTGCCCATCTGCATTGCTCCTGTTCTGTTCTTACCTTGTTCTATCAAAGTACAGGCTTCTTTGAAGCCTAAACCCACCAGTATTAACTTCCTAGTAGTGCAGTCATAACAATTGTCCATCAGTTTTTTTACTTTGGTGTTTTTGTGTTTGTTTTTTTTTTTTGGCAGGTAAGGTTTATCTTGCAGCATCCTGTTCCTATTCCTGGTTTCTTGGATTGGGATTATTTCAAGTTCTGGGGTAGATTTAGCAATTGGTCCAAGAAAAAAATCGTCATGTTTCAAGAGACAACCACTGTATTAAATAACTACCTGGAGTAAAATAAGGGACAGCAAACATGTGCAGCACTTTACCTGGAGGATATTGCCTCGGCACGTAAATCCATCCCCAATGTAGTTATGTTTGCAGGTGCAGGTCCTTTCTGTCAGCTCAGTGTCATTACAGATGGCAAATTCACTGCAGCCTCCATTATTCTTGTAAGATCAAAATTTAAAATACTTAATTCCTTCATTGCCAGGTGTACAAAACAATTCTAGTTCACCACTTTTTTTTCCATGTGTACAGCTTAGAAAGACTTAATCCCAACAGCTTTTTGAAACCAGGTTTTACTGGAACTTCTGATGGTATATACTTTCTTGCAAACAATAAAGAGCATTTAAGTTTCATAAGAAATGACTCTCCTTTTATGCAGAGGATGTAGTTTGGATTGTCTCCTTATATCTTCAGTTCATGGAGTTATAAGGATCCAAAAGATTTCCATGCAAGTTTCACTCTGGATCTTAGGGATGAGTCTTAGCTGTTCTGCTGAAGCAGCATTGACTTATGCTGAAGAGAACTGTTTACAGCTGTAAATCACATTCATGGTGCCAGGAGCCTGGATTTCTGGAGGAGCATTAGCCCAGGACTGTTTTTCTTTGTCTGATGGGCCAGGCCAGCTGGAACAGGGACCTGCCACATGTGCTCTTCTCTAAAACATCTCCTGTCTACCCCTGAGTCCACCACCAGTGCAACCTTGGGCTCAAAGCAGCAGATGCTCCTCACCGAACCGCCTGCCTCCGGGAAGCTCCCTGTGCTAAAGGGAGATGCTCCTCACCCAGGAGCAGCATGCTGGAGTTCAGAGCTCTTCCCAGTCAGAAGTAGGTGCTCCCCAGTTAGCACCTCCATTTGCAAATCAGCTTCTATCCTGGACTTGAGAGCAAAAATTGAGAAGCTATCTTGTTTTCTTTCTTTGTGCTTGTTTCATGGTGTCTTTTCTTTTACCTCATCATTCATCTCAGGGATCCTTTTCCATGGGCCATGACTGGGAGCAGAAGCTCCTTTGGGAGCTACCAGTGGGGCCAGACAGGACAGGCCACAGTGAGCCCTGTCTCTAAGTAGTGGGTTTAAGTGCATTTGCTATTTATTTGGCTAGCTTTAGGTGGACTGTTGGCAATCTTGGGTTTATCATAGCTTCCTGTGAAGATTTGCTGCACAGAGGTTTGGCCATTGTGAAGTCAGATTAGACTCTGGTCTGACATTGAAACTTCTCAAGACTATTTTTTTTAATATATAATTAGCCTGGCATAATTAGTCAAGTGGAAGAAGAGCTGCTGGAACAAGGCATAGGAAAATAGGAAAAAGCAAAAAGCATACAAAATCACAGGAAGCAGGGGCTCACAACTTTGAGTTCCCCTTCCTCCAGCTTCTGTTTTTGCCCTTGCTCTTTCATCTCTGCAGCCTTTCAGGGTTAGAGGAAGCCTGCTGATGGGCCAGGCTGAGAGGGTGAGAATTATTGTCACTGCACTTGGAGCACAAAGGATTAATGTGCATGGGAGAGCAGATATGTCCCTGCTGCAGCTTGCCAAGAAGCAGAGTAACATGGCTGCTGCAGAGAACCACATTGCTTGCAAATATGTGGCTTGCAGTGTGTGACTAGCTTGTGTGAAATGAATGTGGCTAATTCTCAGCCTGCAGCAGTAAGTGAGGGACAGAATGAGGAATGCCACGGGAACTCCTGGGTTGTGTGTTGTGGGGGGAAATGGTTTGCCTAAAGAATGAGTTTTGTTTTGTTTTTAAATCTCCCCATCAAGAAAAGGTGATAGGTTTTCATTCTCCCACCCATCTCCTCTGTTTCACTGTTCACTAACCTGCCTTTGCTGCAGCTTGCAGTGTTGCTATCTTGGGTGATGCACCTGCAGGGATGTGTTTGGGATGCAGGCTATGTGTGGCCGTAGGGGCTGTGGGGCTCTGCTGTTTGCTCTGTGGGAGCTCTGCCCTAGGTGAGTCTGCAGTCTGGGACCTCTGATGGAAACATCTACTCCGGGGAACCCAGGCGTACCCAGGCTCCTGAGCTACTTGGTGTCCCAACATGGATTTCACTGGTAGTGACCCATCAATGGGGGGATTTGATACTTTGATCAGACTAGAAAAATTTCAGACTGGGAAGGGGATGTGTATGCTGACACTTGATCATTTCTTTTGTTCAGGCTGCACAGGTAATGGTCCCAAATCACACCAGAGGACATAATGACAGGAGAATCTCAAAAATAAATAGACTGTTCCTTTGCTTCCCAATCACCTAGCACCTAGAACAGCTAGAATTGGCTCCTGAGCATCAACAACCTGAGCTGCAGATTTTTTTTTTTTGTCATTACAGGTAACATGTAGCAGATCACACTTGTCTTGTCATTTGAACCAAGCTCTTTAATTGTCTTGTCTAGAAACTGCATTTTTTTTTAACAGTAATTGCAATATTGGTAAGTCTGTGCAATATTGGTAAGCCACGTGTCCCAACGTGGCTTTTTATATGAACTCTAGCAATGACAAAAAATTTGCTGAGAAGATATGACTTACATTTTACCACCACAAACTAGGGTCTGTTTCTCTAGATCTGAAGTGTTTTTTTTTTTCTTTAAGGCTCAGTGATGGGTCCAGGCTCTCACTTGTATTATGTCCAGGAAAAGCCCTTACTGCATACTTAGTTTCTAAAATAGCGACAGCACTAAAGCATGTACTGAACCAAGCACATTTAAAAATTAACTAAGTTAACGTAGGTTGATTCTGGGCATATCTGACTTAGTTTTGAATGCATACAAAACCCCAAAGTATAATGATTATAACAAGACCTATACTCTCCTTAAATGGATACTTACTTGTGAACACAGGCTGATATACGTGCATCTTTTACCGTCTCCAGAGTATCCCTTCAAGCAATTACATACTGCCTACAAAGCAAAACCAGAAAACATACATACATGGAAAGATATTTGGGTTTTTTTTTTCAGCACGCTTATATTTAATTTACTTTCCTGCCAGATTATTTCATAGTGATATGGTGTACAATTTATTAAGCTAAAAGTACATCCTTTTTCCTGCAACAGTTTCTCAGCCAGCATGAGCAACCGTAGGTGGAGACTGGGGAATAACAATTTCTAAGAGGCTCTATCTGCCCTTTCCCTGCCTATCCGTCTCTCATCTCTCCTCTGCTGTCCTGGTCATTTGAAATGACCCTTTTGATGTCTGCGCACGGTCATCTTGCAGGCAAAACAGGCTAAACCCCTAATTTGTTTCCCTCGTTTTACTTGCATAGGTTGGTATTCCCCTCTCTCCTCTTCCTTTCCCCTGTTTTTTTTTTTGGAGTGGTGAAACATTAAAACACACGTGGAATTGTGTCCTGATGTTACTGACAGCTTCCCATGTGGCGGTAATGCATTTGACACTTACATCATGATTATTCTGTTTTGCACTTGCAGTTATCACAAAGATGAAAAATTAACATGGTTGCAAAGAAATGACTTATCTTCCTCTCCAATTCACTGCTTAATGGTTTTCAATTTAGAATTCACATTTAATGTGTAGGAGATTGAAAATTCAAGCAGAATTCTGCAGCAGAAATAAAACTGTTAGGCAGTGTAATAGCAGTGTTTTAGGTACCTGGATGACTGAAAGCCCTAAAGAAAGCAGACACATCTCTGTCCTGTAAGTTTGGTTCTGCAGTGCTGGGGTTTTGTAGTGGAGGTTAATATCGCTCTGATGTTAACGATATTCCCATGGGTAAGGAAGTATAAATAATCATGTTGTAGCTACTACTTTTGTCCCCACGGAGGCCATATGGAAGAAAACAGCCATCACCTCTCTTGTATAAAGGGATGGGGAAGGAGCTAAGTGGCTCTGTGCTCCCAGCAGAAACATACTGACTTGCAAAAGATACTCAAGGCAAAGAGTTAATTGTTCGGAACTGGCAAAAAGGGCTGATGGGTTTATTGTCTCTTCTGTCCCTGGACAACTGGAAGGCAGGAGGTGGCCTCTTGACTCCTGGCCTCTGTTTTCCTGCATTGGTCCTGAAGAAATACTGTTGTACAGTGCTCACTTGGAGAGTTACAGTCTTGCAAATAGCCAATATGAAACTATAGAGGGATGATAAGAAGTGCTGCAACCAGGGAGTTCAGCTTCTTGTGAAACTGTTAGAAAAACAGAGATGCTAATCTGTGTCACCTGATTGCCCTGGCCAATTTGCTGCTCCTTTCCCCTCTTGTCCTTTTATACTTTTTTCTCTTTGGACAGCATGTGCTACTTCTGAACGGGAGATGCAGAACAGCAGAGGAGTGAGTGGATCCCACTGTGCTGTAACCCCTATGTGAAAACTATGATTCAGGACATTTTGTTTCCTTGTGAATACCTTTGAGCTATGCTGGGAGAAGGGCTAGTCTGAAATGGAATTTGCCCATGGACAGTTTCTATAACAATAAAAGAAACATTATCTGGCAATACTTTCAAAGGTTGACGGGTTTTCACATCAAAACCACCCAAAGGAGAAAAACAACCACTTGAAACAGCAAAACACTGCTTTCATCTACAGTTTTGGTTTTCTTTTACTGAAATTAATTTTTTCATGTTTGTCCACACTCCCCCTCAAATACCTTTTTGAGGGAAGCATATACTTTTCAGAATTTTTGTTATGAAATCCACTTTTCCATTTGAAAACAAAGTTGAGATGGAGAAATCTTTCTTTACCCAACTATAAACACTTGGCTAGTCTTATTCTTCTGCACTGATGAAGTACTCACTTGATTGGGTCCAGTTTGCGTGCATTCTGCATTTCTATCGCATCCACCATTGTTCACCAGACAAGGGTTGATTTCTTTATAAAACAGAAACAGTATAATAAAAAAAGAGTGAATTCTGAAAACCTGAGAAGGGAGAATTTTAAGTAAAGCATACTAAGAATGCAGATTTATGACAACTGTGAATCAATGAAACTTATTCCCTTAATACCTCAGTCTCAGACTTGCAGTTGTCTTGATGAAGGCTAAAACTCTGCAGTCAGCATTTTTAAAACCATACCTGGGAAGGTATGGTCTACAACGATGTCTAAAAGTCTTGAAGTCTGTAATGGTCAGAGGAGTCCAAGTGTATCAAGGTGCTGAAGATGAAGCTATCCTTATTGAGAGGTAGATCTTTTTTAGTAAGCTTTGGTGTCACACCACACTGCTGTAGTTGCATGGTTTGCCAAATCAACCACACAGCACATAGAGATGCTTTTGGCATCAGGATCTGCAGTATCAGAAAACTGCACTTCTGGGTCATAGTGGAAGAGGGATCTTCCATCTACAGCAGAACTCACTCCTGTAGCTTCCCTCCTTGTGATATATGAGACATTGCAAATGCTTACCGATGCAGACTACTCCATCTCCAGTGTACCCAGCGTTGCAGATGCACACTCTATTGCCAGGCGTTGTTCTTTTGCACTCTGCTTTGGCAGAACAGCCACCATTGCTAGTCTTGCAAGCATCAATAGCTGAACAGTGACAACAACCCAGATTAAACCAATGTGCTTAAATGGCTTTTCACTTTTCAGGTTAAGATGCCTCTTTCTTTTAAAGCGATTTGCTAACATTTTCTGAACACAGAACCTTTCTGATTTAAGAGACCATACACTTCATTATTGCCAGGTATTTAGTACATCTTACTGACTACAAGAGGAAAAGCTGAGAAGATGCTTCTAGTCTGGAAGATAAGAATTCATCCAGGACTGACTTTCAGTAACGTTCCATCTTCCAATACCATCCATTCCAACCAAACACCAAAAAGGAGACCTTCGCGTTCTTCTCTAGGTTAAATGGCCATTTGAAGCTTTCTCTTAGCTTGCCTTTTTCTGCACACAGATCAAATGACCTTCTCTTGCAGGAGGTCTAGAGTGTAATACGACTCAGCCCCCTCCTGTGACTAAACGTCCTGGTTGTTATTCAGATGGGTGCTCTGCCGTTTCTCCAACTCTGGATGAGTCAGAGGCTGGCAAATTGAACTTGCTTGGGTTACCCTGAGAGCAGGGAGGGAGCCTTTTCTGATCTTCAGTGTGAATCAAATCAGCCCAAACATTGCTTTAGTTTTTGCCTCAGATGACCCCGAATTGTGGTTTCAGCAGCTCTAACAGCCAGACTGGGGAGATGATGTCCTGTAATTGGTTTTGCCTGGGAATCCTGTATAAGGGAATAAGGGCGAGCGCAGATCCAATATGGGTGACCTGTGTCACCCAGCTCTTCCTGCACATGGGGAATTTCCCACCAGCAGATTGAAATGGATTTGGCTGGTTTGTGCCAGAAGAGAAAATGAAAGCAGCTAGAGTAGGAGTGCTAAAATCTTGGATTAGGACCCTGCCAGCCATTGTAAATAGACAAATATGCTTCTGTTGCCGAGAGAATTAGTATTTTAATTAGTTAAAGATTAAGTAAAACAATTGTAAAATTAATTACAATCACTGTAGCTGGAAGCAGTCTATTTTTGTAAGTCTGGATATCCCAGACTCTTGGAGGGACAGCTAGGATAAGGTGCTGTTGTCCCTTTCGGAGGGTCCCTCAGATCTCTCTGGTCTAAAGAAGTTGATTTTACCACCCCAGAAATCTGTGCAAGTTCAGAAAGCTGAGGAAATGGTAGGGCTGTGCAGCTTCCAATAGCTGGAAGTGCTATTGTGCCCTGAATTGGCCTCTCTTCGCTGGGCTTTGCTGGGAAAAGGAATAAAAGTCATAATCCAGGTTTCGTTACTCTGCAAACAATGGGACCCGAGTTGTGCACAGCATGTTCCTCTTTGTCTGGTCTCCCTTAGCACAATGCCCGACAACTTGGAGATTTTGAGCCCTTTGTTTGCTATGAATCTGTACCTGTTGAACTCTTACTCGTTTTGAGCAAACTGCCAGCAATTCTTATTTTTTAACTGGTGCATAGGGAAGTGCTCATCTCTCACCAGCTCCACCATGACCACAGTGCTTCAAGTATGTTTTTTTTTTTTTTTCTCTCAAAAGGGAAGAAACAAAGTCCACTTGCCTGTGCAGGACGTCCCATTTCCCTCGAACCCAGCTGCACACTTGCAATAGGCAGTGCCATTTGATAGCAGAAGGCAGCTAAAGAAGTAAAAGAAGGCAGATGACATTTAAAAAAAAAAAAAAAAAGAAAAAAAGTAGATCTTCTGTACAGCCCTTGTTTTTGTGCATTGTTCCAAAGGTAATGTCACATAGATAACAAGGCATTTAACCATACAGTATGATGTAATTACACCCATAAACATGAACCCAGGGAACCAAGCTTTCAAAATGCATTTTTGATGTATTATTTTAAGTATGAAAAATGCATGCTTTTGCCATCAAGTGCCGTATTTTTCTCATGCAGAACTCCAGAAGTTGCATGCCTGCTCACCCAAAAACTGTGCACAAATTTTTGTGTACGCACAATTTATTGAGGGACGCAGCAGAACAGATGTGCAAGGATGGGAGCCAGGCATCCGAGTCCCCTGGGTTCAAGTTTGGGGTTTTTTGGGGGCACTTTGGCCTTCTGTGTGCAAGCGTGGGTTTACTGCCCCATGAGCTCTGTATAATGCTGTCACCCAGGGACATCATCGGAACACAGCCAGCACAATCATGTCCTCTCCCCCCATGCCTGTGCTTATCCCTGTACCTACAGGTGTACGGCAGTGGATGGATAAGGCTCAACAGAAGAACAGGCTGCTTCTCCTGTCAGAACTACAGTCTTGATGCCAGCATGTGTGGGATCCCACTAAGCAAATTTCAGGGTGGAGTTTCACCAGGTTTTTTTTGTTTGTTTTTGGCAAAATATTGCTGCTGTGAACTGCCGTTCACAAAGACGCAGGGAGAGAGAATGAACCACATGTGGGAAAAAGAGGGTTTGACCCTCTGGTTTCTCTACTCCTATGGAGGAGCTGTGGCTGAAAATGAGGTGACTTTCCAGCCATCTCTCCTTGCTCTTTAAATGTCTCAGGTTATGGAAATCTTGCTGTCTGGTCAATGATGGGGTGTGGGTGCACTTCAGTAAATGGCTCAGTGAGGGTGACTTGCTCCCTTGAAAACTGGTTAGTGGCCCAGTATTGGTGCTGGACTGCTAAGAGCACTGGTTTTATGGAGGGAGGAGGGGGTGGATATTTTGATGTGAAGAGGAGAACTGTTTCTTGTCAAATGCAGCTCTGTTTGGTGAAGTCCCTAGTTCTAGTGGCATTTCTTAGTTATATGTGTGGTGGTGGATGGGGCAAATAAGAAAGGCAGATAAAGCCCACCTCAGAAACCTACCTTTGATCAGCATTGTCCTGCCCTCCTATTCTCTTTAGTGCTGCAGCTTCCATTTCTGTGTGTACTGCATGGTAGGATGTCTCCTCCTCCCCCGCCCCGCCTTGCTTCCCCTCTTAACAAGCACATTTTGAACTTTTTGGCCTCATCACCGACTATGTCACATATGTCACATTAACATTGCTCCTTATCTCTGTGGTGGAAAACATGAGCGTTATCAATGCTCCTGAGAAGTCTTCATAAAGAGCAAGGTGGACTATGCTTTTTTTCTTTGCAAGAGATTCCCTTTTTCTCCCCTCTCCTCCAAATAAGTGGATTTCATACATACTTAGCACTCGTATGGCATGAAGCGTTACATGCGTCGTCTTTGATTTCTGCAAGAGAGGGGAAAAAAAAACCCAACCAAAACAAAGATTAGAACCTTTTGGGTCAACATCTGGTTTCCCAGTCTTTTGTTCCCACCATGTAGAGCTGGAGTCTGGGATCTGCACTCGAAAACTGCTCTTGCAGTCTGTATAGACACTCCATCTGTATAGATCAGTGGGTACCACTTAAACTCAGTTCTGAAGAAGAGGCATGTCAACGTATCACCAGGAAAACATTTCACCTGTTGTCATTTATCTGTATCTACTCTGGTGAGTTTTGCACATTATTAGCTTAACTGTGTAAGTATAGGTTTTCCAAAGGAACTGAAAGTTGCTTAGGTATAGCAACTACAGCAACCTTTTAGCTATAAAGTTCTTTTCATTACTATTTACTTTACATTACTGTTTTTTTCCCCTAAGCAAATTTAAAACAGATATTGAATGCTATTATTAATGTGTTTATACATTTTTTTATTTTATACTATTGTATGTAGAATTCTGAAGGAGTTATTTAACACATTTTAATTATGTCTAACTAAAATATAATTTTATTGGACAGAGGAGCTGTATTAAACCAGCACAAACTGATTTATTTGCTAACTAATTTTTATTGTATTAGCAAGAACATAATTTGATTTCCAGTGTTGTATAGCTAAATCAACTTATTGAAGCACTTGAGAGACTTTTGATCTGAAGTTCAAAATGTGCTACGTAACTCTGCTCTGCAAAATATATAACCTGAACAAATGGAATATTCTTTTGAGACAGATACAGGGTAACACAGGTAGAGAATTAGCTAAGTAAAGCATTTAAGTCTCACAAGCAGTATCTCAGCTGGCTGTCTGTAATTATGGTAATTAATTGCCATAGCACAGGAGCATCACCCGCATTTCACTGCAGGTGGGAAGCTGTTGGGTATCTGGTAGTGCGCTGGGATCTAATCACGGCTGTAGTTCTGGCTTTTCCTGAAATGCTCACTTCTCGCCCCAGGAAAAAAAAGGAGGGGACACTCACCGGTCTCGCACGTCACCCCTCTCCAGCCAACGTCACATTCACAGGAGCCGTCCCCATCGATCCCACTGCTGCATTTCCCGTGGACACAACCGCACACTGTGGGGAGAGATGGGAGGAAATCACTGTCCGTGGGCAGGGTTGCAGTGTGCGCAGCAAGGCAGCGAGGGAGGGAAGGGTGGGAGGGATGGCCCAGATGTCTTCTGCTGGTGGCACCTTCTGCTCTAGGCTATTTCAAGAAATGCTTTGGCTTGTACCTATTGGCTTCTGCCTACAGAATACATCTAAATTCAAAATATGCTTATCTGTCCTCTATTCCCAAATGCAGGGACTGAAACTGTATTTTAATGGGAAAGCATTGGTGAAAAAGAGGATTATTCTCCCTGGATGCTGTTCTAAGCCTGTAGCATGCCAGAGCAGGAGGCATCGTCTCCAAACAAGGGAGTAGAGAGAAAATTCCATAATGGGGAAAGAAAAGGGCTTAGTGATGTTTTTAAGACTGGCTTGTTACCCTGAAAGTGTTATACCTTTCCAGTATCTAGAATGGACATGGTTAGAAGATCTAAGGGGAAGTTTTTGACATCTGACAAAACTAGCAAGGGTGCCTGTGTGCTTCGGGGATGCTCAGTACCTTGATCACAGTTGCGGCCGTATTTGCCTTCAATGCAGCTTTCACAGGCTGTACCGACAAACCCCTCTTCGCACTCGCAGGTGCCTGTGCCGTTGATGCCGTCCAGGCAGACGCCGTTTCCGAAGCAGGCATTCCCAGCCTTCCCCGGGCAGGGCTGGCACTGCTGCCCAAAGAAACCTGCGCAGCACTCCCGGGTCTGGAAACCAAGAAATGCTGTGCTGAGGGTCAGGATCAGGATCAGGGTAGCAAGCATGGCAGCATGCACGTGGCCACTGGGTATTATCTCTTGGGACTGCTGCTGGGTGGAGGTGATCTATAGATGTGGATTTTTAGCAGTGCTTCAGCTCTGCTGGCCTCTGGCCATGCTCCTTACTGTGCCAGGGCTCAGGCTGCCACCCCAAGTCCTCAGTGGGACCCAGATGCCCTCTACCACCTCAGTGAAAGGTGGATGAGATTGCTAGGGACAGGCATGGGGTGGGGTTACCTTTCCAAAACCTATGCTCCCTCTGCCCCATATTGGCTCCCAGCCCTTCCTATGCTGCAGCCATCAGCAGCCTTTAACATTCCAGGCTCTGCTGCATCCAGAATAAAGGCCCTAATAATATACTGTCAGGAACTGCCTTGATGTGCTGCATGGGTTTAGCGGGAATTACGAGAAGGGTGAAATTCAAGGATGGGGGTTTCTGGCTTTTACTGCGACAGAAACTGTGTACTCACAATGATGGTTTTAGCACACTTTGGCTGGCACCCGATCTGGATGGTGTACATTCTCACGTTTCCTGAGAGGATGCAGTACTTCTTCTCTCCTGCCTGAACAAAAATTGGAGAAAGAGCTGTGCTTCTGAGTAATATTGATCAGCTGCTTTCAAATGTTTTAAAAAATGGGACATTAACTTTATGCATGCTGTGCACTGACTCACGCATTCACAATGAAAATAAAGGAAATACTTTTAGAAATAAAAATTCATTAGCTAAATTATTTTTCCTAGCGAACATATGATCAATTTAACTGGGTGCCCTGTGGCACTTTAAAGATGTGTCTAATACTGCCTTTGCTTAGAATTGAACAGAATTTTTTTCTGAAGTTTGTCAAACATTTCTTATTTTTTTTTTCTGACACGTCTCCCATTCATCCTAATTCTTCTTGGAAAACTGAGAGCCAAACTTCTGCAGAAACAGCTGTTGAAACATTATCTTCCAGGTCTGGACACAGCTGGGAAAGACTGCTTGCCAAAGAAGACTTGCTGGTCTCATTGTACACTTGTTAGGAGACTGAGATATGGATCCATGCAGCTGTGCATTGTAAAGGAAATGTTAAAGTTTTCGAGTTTCACCCACAAGCACTTCAGTTTGATTTTGCCAGCCAATTATTTTAATGGGGTGGATGGGACTTGGTCTGCTTTGGAATCCTATTACTGGCATAATTAATTAGGTAATAATAGAGGAAAATATGCTTATATAATCCCAACAGAGGAGCTTTCCCAGAGAAATTCAGATGCCAAGAAACTCTAGGTCACATCGTGGTTGACAGGGACCTGCTAAATATCTGCAGTTCTCATGTATTGGACATGGACATCCAAAGTCTTTAAGGTCTCCAAGTCTCCTTGTGACCATAACTCACAGCACATTGCTGGGGACAGGTTGAGTTTGCCCTTCTGTACATCTCTGATTTGAAGGGCTCAGAGCTGCTTCTGTAATTCCTCCTGTAGTAAGCATAGTGGAAACCATGTTCAACTCCCTCAGTTTTGCATGGTAGAGGTAACCTTGGAGTTTGAGGAGTCTTCAGTTTTCTCAATGCATACTAGAAACTGGTCTTTCAAGAGGAAACTGTCTTTAACCTGCCCTTGATTCTGCTACCTTGCTCTCAGGGTGGATTGACTCTATTGACTGTAAGCAATATATGTAGCAGGCTGAAGTAATGATGATAACTTTTGTTGAAACTGAGGCAATTATATTAAAAACAGGATTGAATGCATCTATGCTTGGTTTTGATTAAAACAAAATCATCATTAATGACAAAATACTTACTAGTTCTCTTGTTCCTGGGGGACACCTTGATGGCTGTGAACAAATTCTGCACTTTTCCTTAACCAACAAAAATGCGAGGTAGTTAACAGACTGTACAGGACTGCAGATGGGTTGTTTAACAGAAAATGCATAATTTCCAGCTATATTTCTAAACCTAGCCCTCAGGGCACGTAGTCAGGATAAACCCTTTGGTAAAGGTGGTGAGGGTGGCTGCACTGCTCAGCAAGGAAGAGCACCCCTACCAGCGGATCTGTAGGGACACCCTTATGGGAAGCTGTCTCCCAAGGAGGAGAAGGAAAGCTCTTTTGGATATTTCTCTTTGCTCTTCTAAAGTGATGCTTCCCAAAGGCCTCCCCACCTGAAGCACAAAAGGCAAATCCTGAGCTTGAACACAATTTGCCTGTGACACAAGGACAAGGGCAGCTTGGAAATGGGGAACTCATGCCATGTGTACATCCTGTGCTATATGTGCGTGTGAATCATTTGCACGTGTAAGGTCAGCTTCTGCAAAATGCTTAGATACATGTTGTACCTAGTACACAATATTTAATATTATTCTTGTTTAGCTAACTATGTCCTTACTTTTAGCAAGGCTTAAATGAATGTGTAAGTATGTTGCCGTATTTGAACATAGCAGGGAAAATAATTTTCCATTGGAAAACAAAGGACTATGTGCAAAGGACCTGACAGAGCAAAGCTGGGGAAAAGCCTTGAGTGAAATACACTCAAATATGGGACTGTATCCCAAGGAAAAGAATTAAGCTGCAAAAGTTCATGCCTGTTAAATTTGGTTTAACTGAAGCACAAGTTTCTACTTATTCTTCCTTGTCTAGTTTATTGCATGCTCCATAAAAGGGGAGGTAAGCTGCCTGTTTGCTGTCCTATTTGACTCACTCAGGAGAAAAGACAAAGGAAACCTTTCTCTGCCAGTTTGAGGACATCACATCCTATTCTTTAGAGGAAGATAAACCCATTTGTATTTCGTATGTAAAAGAGGGAGAACACTTGGAGGCTATGAGGAGTTCATGTGCATGTGCAGTGGTAATCTACATTTGGAATCAAAAGGAAATTTTTTCCTTACTAAAAATATTTTAATTTCCATTTTTTTCCACTTTTTTACTTTATAAACAGGTGGTCTGGCTAAGAAGGTGTGTTGCAATAGTGCATTACTATTATTTTCTGAAAATTAAAGCTCTGGAATTGCTTATTTTTGTGCTACTCTGATTATGTTTTATCCAGGCTGCCGGTACACCGATAGCAGGATCAAAGCCATCTTAATAGATGCTCTAAATTCTGATAGGAATATATTTTGTGGAAAACGCATGCATTCCTTAGTGGGAAATACAGTGTCATGTATTCTGTACATTTGAGCTGTGTTTGGCTATAGATCCTCTGATGGGCCTTTAAACATTTATACGAACAGAACCACTTACAATGATCACGGTATCATTGATATCACATCTGTTCTTCTGGATCTCCAGGACCTTTCCCAATCCATGAATAATTCCTTTGTCTGTTGCAACATTAGTATAGCTTATAGGTGCATCATTTATGAATATCTGCAAAAGAAATGCAATTGGTTAGAAAGCGGCAGAGCTGTTTGGTAGCTATATGGTAACTAAAGCAGTAGTAGAGGAAGGAAGGGGCAATGAACAAGTCTCACTTCAGGAAAACCAACGAACATAGATAACATCAAGCACTTGCTCACATCCCAGTTGCTGCATTTAAGAGCTTCACTGGACTGGAGGGCATAAAATGACTTCCAGCCTGTTGAAGTTTAGCAACAGGATTTGGCAGAGCAGCTTTTCCCACTGTGGAGTGTAAAGAGCCTAAAGAAGAAGGAGCCTAAAGCAAGCCACGAGCTGGGTTTGCTGTCTGTGGGGCATGAGAGGCTTCAGGGAAGCCCCCTCCAGTAGCTGCTCCTTCAAGGAGGACTTTCATCATCTCACTGCTACCCCACACTCCCCTTGTGCCCTCACCAGCAACAGCCCCACGAGCAGATGTTCTTCCAAGGCTCTGCCATGGGCAGAGCAAACAGCAGGGCTGAAGCTGCTTTGATGAGAAACTTTCTGTCCTCCTTTGTCTGTGCCCAGAGGGACCTCTTGGGACTGAGAAGGAGGAGGACCAAGTTCCTCGCCTGGCTCCGCCATGGAATTGGGTGTGTCACTTAGTCGTGCTGTGCCTGATTTACCCATGAGTGGTGTTGAAAGGCAATTTGTATTTGTTGCCCAGTGCTTTGAGCTCTTAGGATTGAAAGTGGAGTAAATCCACAGAAAATAGAATTAGTGTTTTATAATTGAAGGCAGGTTTCCAATAGCTCTTGGAAGTCAGATTAATGACTGCTTTGTGATGCAGACTTGTAGCTGCTAGAGATGGACGTCTACCACAGTAACTTCTAAAATGCAATGTTAAATGTGAACAGCACAACTGAAATCAAATTCAATCAAAGATCCCTTCAAGAGTGACTTTGAATTAAGCAGGTCTGAGAGAGGCATTGCATTTGAGTGATAACTTTTGTGCTGTTACATCCCAGAAGCTGATGGGGGGATGCACAGCTTCTTTTGACTGCATGTTAATTTAAAGTTGAAGCTGGATTCATAAAAAGCAGGGAACCTGTTTCTTCAAGCAAGTGGAGACAGCAGTACCTGGTCGTTGTGGAGGAAGAACCCAACCTGGTAGGAGAACCCTAGCATAGTCTCCCTGTGCATGCCATTGTGCAGGTTGTTCTTCAGGAGCTTCTCATTCAGCAGAACATGATAGCGTATTTGGCCTTCATCCTGCAAACACACAGTTAAATTCGGAGTTACGTAACAAAGCATGACAAGTAATTAGCTTTTCCCAAAGGATCTAAGCCAAATATAGATTGCCTGAATTTTAGGGAGAAACTTCTCCAGCTGGCAGGTTATTTCCTATTTCCTGCTATGGACAGCCTGCATTTCTGTCATAATGAAACTTTTATTCACCATGGGGGATGAAAGGCTATTGAACTGGTGGGACCAAAGTTTGCTTGAGCCTGGTAGTGTCTCTTTCTGTGTACAGCCTGGCTGACAGATTCAGGGAAAAATTCAGAGTCAAAGTCATTTGACTAACTTCATGAGTTCATTTGACATCAAAAGTTGCATATTCATGAGTGCTTTTATAATCTTACCCATATCCCTTCCTTCTTCATTTGGGATTTCCTGAATCACCTACAGATGAATACTTACAGTAATTTATAGGTCTTGCTTTTTTTTTTTTTTCTAAATCCTTAAGGTCACCTTCCATCGATAAAGTGTTAGAGCCACACCTATTAATTGGAAAGTTTTCTATGTCTCATTGCTAGAGTGTATTCATTTTTCATTGATTTGGTGAAATTATTGTCTATACATCAAAACTTTGTGAGGGCTTCCTAAGGCTTCTGCATCTTGTTCCAAAGCAGGGGACTCCCAGAGCTCTCCCTGACTTGAAGGAGGAAGCAGAAGTAGGTTGTGTTTGTGAGAGATTTGTAGATGTGAGAGAAACTGGGGCATCTGGAAGATTTAGGAGCTGCCTAGCCAACAGATGTAGTGCTGCTGCAGGTCTATGTCTTTGCAATAACAGGTGCTTGTGGGAAATCCTGTTGCCTGCTGTCCCTTTGTTCTGGATGTTCATACTGCTCCTCACTCTTCCATTCCTTCAAAAGTGTATGAAAACATGAAGCACCCCCAGGTTGCAAGATTTGTGATGTTGCCTGGCTTTGCCCACGAGGTGAAATAGTGGTCTTTACATCTCTTAGGGTGGGACCCATTCTATTTTGATTTGCACGGATTTGACGAAGAAATATTTGCAGGCGAGAAGGTGGGAATTAAGATAGAGTTAATCTCCATCAGTGTGCAACTCTATTTAATCCTCCTGACTTGGATGCTTTGGAGGAAAAGTCAACTCTCATCCGTCTTAATTTCTGTCTTTAGTCACCAGCAGAATGAGAACAAAACCTTGCTGCATCAAGGCCAAGAAGTGGAGTCTCTTCCCTGTGCTGAGCTCTTCCCTCTGTGGCAGAGTTCTCCCAAGATGTTTCATGAAGAGGATAAGGCTTAGGCAGGCTTAACCTTATAGTTTTTTTTCTGATTTTCTTTGTTAGATTCTATGATTCTATGATTGTCACGCCAGGCGAGGTTGGGAGGATGGAAGGAAGGCAGAAGAAACATTGGTAAGTAGTGGAAATGAAAAGGCTTTCTGTGTGTGTGTAACCTGAATCCAATGGGATTGATGTCCTATGTGTCTCAAACTTTGTTATAAATGCTTCTTACAGTGAGTGAGGCAGAAATGATGATGTCATGTCATGAAACAAGTACAATAGCGTTCAAAAGTCATTTGAGCAGATATATCTTGTTCACGGGTGAATTCTTCTGGTGAAGCAGCAAGTGGGACTTTTGCTGTGAGTCTGCTGATTCGTGGTAAATGTTGTGGGATGAGACATTTGAACTCTGTACTCCTCAGCTTCCTGGCTGTAAATGTAGACGTGAAAATAGGGACAGAGTGTGGCAGGGTGAATATTTATGGAAGAGGCAGGGAAATATTAATGTCATTGAGCAAGTCATGGGTGAAACTTCTTCTGCAAGGTGTGGTTCTCGATATGCACATTCAATAAGGCTGTTTCAAACTGGAGCAAATAAGAAGGAAGGTGCTGGGATGACTCAGGAAACGGATAGCTTATCTTGGGAGGAGACCAACAGGATTGAGAAGGCTGTTTGGCCTTGTAAATATGTCAGGGCATAAATGCCAGAAAGCTGTTTCAGCTCAAGCATGTTCCTGGAGTAAGAATAAAGTGATATAAACCGGCCAGAGGTGTCCTGTCAAAATAATGTAAACTAGCTCTGGGCACGAGGACTGAGGTCTGCAGGGGAGGTGGGATGGACATGTCTGCGCTGGTGGCCTGGTCAGCCATGAACTTGGTGTGGGACTTCTGGGAGTGGGCAGCAGCAATGGGGTTTGCCTGAGGAAATTTTTATAACCAGGAAAATTTTAGAAATTCTTCTAGCCAGGAAAATTTCAAAAGTTTTTCTGAGTCCTGGGACTGGCGAATGGTGCTTGTAAACTGGGATTAGAAACGGTCTGCAGAAAGCAGCTGGGCAATAGCGTTCCTGCAGGAGTGACAGGGCAAACATCTGGATAGTTTTAAGAAAGACTTAGAATATTTTGTGGCATTATTAATGATGGGGTTGCCAGTGCTAAAGGGGACTGGACTTGTTCACGTAGGAAACTAATTTCAGAGTTATTTGTGGTCATTCCTGTACTGATCTTCTTTGTGAAAAAACCCGCCCTCCAAAAAAGTCTACTGATGAAATGACTTGGATATTGTCAGCATGGTTTTAATCTAGAGAAGGACAAAACCCAGCACAAATAGCTAGGCTCTTCCAGCAAGCCGGGAAAATATAGGTTGATCCGTCTCTCCTCACCTCCTCTGGTGTTAAAAACAAACCCAAACTTACTGGATTTCTGGAAAACAAATCTCTATTCCTATTTCTGTGTCCTCTCAATCCATCCACTTGAAACTGAGATGAGATACTGAGTTGTTAAGACAAGTCTTTTGAGTAATACATACCAGAGTAGCAGACTTTTTATCCCTTAGGTAATTTTCTATGGCATCATTATTTGGGGCGAAGACTGTGTATGTGTTTGCAGCTTCTATTTCATTTGCCAGGCTGTATTGCTGTTGTGAAACACAGAAAAACAAATCAGAATGACCACTGACAGTCTGATAACAGTCCAAATGCAAACAAAGCAGAAAACTGCTTGTATTCTTAAAACAATGTGAAAGCTTACAATAAGGTAGCCCCTGAAAATGGAGTAATCGGGCATTTGCTCCAGGCGGTCCAGCAGCCTCGGCATGACAGTGCTGCGGAGCGGGGTTAGAACCTGAAAGGGTAGCAGATCCCACATCAGTGCATGTGCACACGCTGTGGTTGCACCTGCAAGGATCAGATGCAGGATGAAACGCTGTTCGACGCAAATACTTTTTTTCAAGAGCTGTTAATTATTTTCCATTGCTTGTTGTGCAGAGGTACTAATCCTCCCTATGCGGCCGTATACCTTATCAATAACATGTATGATCCCATTTGTGGATGTGATGTCGCCAGCCACGATGTGAGCGCCCTCAAGGGTGAGGTTCTGAAAGAGGGAGAGGAGAAGAGAGAGGGTTTGCTTTCTCATCACGGTGGTGGCGTTTTCCCAGCGGCTCATGCTGTGGATTTCCACACCTTCCCAAACGCTTGCCTAGGGCTCCACCATGGCTCTGCTCACACCAGCCCGTACCAGTCGCCGGATTGCCTTCAGGGAATGGTGCACAGGAGAGGTGACTTTGGGACTCTCTGCTGTTCTTCACACGCAGACTGGCAAAGCCATGGGGTTACTTGCACTGGGGTGGTTACTCGGGGTAGGTGCACTCACCCCCACCCCATGGCAGGATGAGTTCCTGTGCCAATTCATGCCCTCCTATTTCTGTGCAACTTTGGAGGATCCCATTCGTGATTTTTGCCTCGGGGCGTGGAGGTAGGGGGAAATATTCCCTCCCTTAATGTGCATGAAGTGCTTGAATGTGCCATATGTATTTCCAGAAAATCCTCCTCAGAACATAGAGTACTACATAAAAAGGCTGAGGGGGAAGCACTGCCAGTTGTAGTTATTTACCATTAAAAATACCTTTGCGTGGTTTGGGACTATCAGGTTGCACATGCGGACATGTGCGCAGTATCACTGCTTCCTCCTACCTTCCCAGTTCCCTAAAATAAGTTATTGGGTTTCCTTGATGCTCTTTGTGTTAAATTTGTTCCCACAGGCTGCTCCAGGCAGGGACTGCGCTTCCGCTTGGCTGCGATACTGCCCAGCATTTGCAGCAGCTTCTGGGACATTAGGAATAAATAATGTTGTGGGCAAATTTCAGCTAGGTAAAATGGTGGAGAAAATCAAGTTAATGTTTCTCCCAGAGGGCCCAATATAATTGATCTATTCCTTTAATTTTATGACATGGTCTTTTTTTAAATACAGGTACATAACCTATGTGTGGTTTTGTAACACAAGTATGTTGGTGGCAGTGATGGTCAGGGTTTGGTGTATGATACCACAGTGGTTTGCAGGTCATCTCACCCCATTTTCTTTAGACAAACGTAGGAAGTTGCTCTGGAGAGACGTTGGCAGCATGTCAGAGGATGATAAATTCTGGAAATCAGCAAAGCTGTAAGCTCCTGTCAATAGGTGATACCTAAAGGAAATTAACTGGATTTGAAGGTTTTGTATTTTCTCCTTCTTCCCCCCCCCCCCCCGCAACAAAACTTCTCCCCCCCCCCCCCAGACAAATATACTTAGTGTGTCTAAAACCGTGGTTTAAAGCAGGAATTGTTTGTACAATACCTGGTTCAGCTATGTTCTAATCTTAGTTTGGCCTTTAAACTTTTCTCACATAATACAAATAATACCTTGGTTTTCAGTGGAGTTGCTGCAGAGATTTACACCACTGTAACTAGAAGGGGAATCCTATGTCCCTCCCTTAAAATTATAATAGCTGTCTTGCTCTGGTGTCTTCAAATCAAAGGCTTGTTTGGCATACAAAGCCATTCATTAAAAAAACCTAAACCCCAAACCATTAACATACTTCAGTAGAGTTGGGATGTTACTCTTTGACATCCAAAAGGCTTTCTCATCTTCATCCATGTTTTCAATTGCTTTGAGAGAAGGCACGAGGACAGTTAGGTTTGAGGTAGTGGACAACACCAAATTTATCTCAGCCTCCTGCAAGAAAGTAAAGAGGGTAAAATAATTCATCCTAAGGACGATCTATAAATAGCAGCTGGTGACTTTTTAGCAAGGTGGAGTATGTGACATGCTTTGTGACCAACCTGGAGAGGAAAAACTATTATACTGAGCAATGACTTGAACTAAAGTACTTAGAGCTATACAAAAATAGTAAATGAGCATCTACTTTTTACAGAATAGATTGCCAGCATTTAAAGGGCAGAACCAATGTTTAGGTCAGAATTGTTTTTTATTAAGAAGCACTTAAGTTGCCTCCCACAAAAGTTAGTCTGTCTCGTGGATTCTATTTTATGCACTTGAATGTTAAAAAAAAAAAAATCACGTTGATAAATACTAGTAGTTACTGATAACTTCAAGTAACCTGCTCTTACAGAGCACTCCATGCTATTTAATAGATGGAAGGATTATGAACCGTGAAATAAGAAACCCACATGACACAACGTTCCCATTTGAAGTAAGACTATTTAACATGGCTGGGATTTTTCAAGATGTCCAAGGGATATCTGTGGCTACTAGCGCTGCAGTGGAACTTGCGGCTGACAGATCTAATTTTAGATGGGGGTTGTGGGCTCTGTAGTGTGCATGGACTGATTCATCTTCCATATGTTTGTATCTGCCTTAAGGATGGAGAGAGCCTCCACTGGAGAGGATTTTTCCAGTTGTGTGGATTTTTTTGTGGGGTGGAAAAAGGAGAGCTAAAGATTTGAATGTGATCTTACTGAAGATGTGGCTCTCCAAACTTTTCACAGGCTCCACAACTTGCCATTTTTGATACTATCTGGAAGCTGGCTTCTTTTGGATAGTCCTTCAATACCCATACTGGCTTTTAAGTCAAGAAGGGAATTGGCTCCCTTAAATAGCTGGGAATTTTGCCTCTGTTAAGATCATCTTTCTTTCTAGCCATCATCAATGTCACCTTCCAAATATTTAAATATAGAAATAGCAACAGACTTCCCCTTCTCATCCTTCCTGACCACCAAGAAAAACATTTGGTTATGAAAAGTGGTAAACATAAAACGAGTATGAAGTTAGAAACTCCACAGATGGATATACCTCCCTATTTTGTTCATGTTTGTAGCTACCATTGTTTAAGGGATATAATTTCTCTGAAGTGAAGCAGAAATTTCCACATCTTTGTTTCAGTAGATTATACAGAATCTGCACTCCATTCCCCCCACCTCCCCCCCAATTCATTATCTAAAGAGCACATTAGCAGGTGAACAGCCTTTCCTATTGTGCTCAGTTCTTTAACTTCATTAGTTTCTCTATGCAGTGTCCAGTGCTGCAATCTGAGCTCAGGGCCAGGCAGATAACTGATTTAAATTGGCCACATTGACCTCTCTTTTAAGCAGCTCCCTGAGATCCCTGTTGCACTTGTGTGCTTTAATGATCCCCAAGCCGGCTGACTTTGAAAAGCGTGAAAGCAGCTAATACGCTGTGACTTCTGCTTCTGATGCTATTCATTAACATATCACTGCTCCTTTCTGTTTGCCATGTTTTTGCTATACATTTCTTATATTTAGGTTTTAAGCGCTTTATGAGAGAAACTGGTTTTGATCTTTATTCATACAGTGCCAATGACAGCAGGGCAGGACCTCTAATGTTACTGCTGCCCTAGTAATAGATGATAGCATGTGAAAATAAAAAGTAGATCGTGACAATCAATCTGTCTAGAACTTTGGGTTTTTTTGATCTAAATTGGTGTTTTTTCCCTAATCGGGAGTCAAACAAGCTAATCTCTTCCTTCATTTCCTGCACCTCCATCAAGCGTGCACAGACTGAGTTTCTTCCTTCTTGCTTGCTGCGGCAGCAGCACATTGACCAGCCTTACAGCTGCATTTTCCTGCCGTGGGGCACAGTGAAAATGGGGAGGGTAAAGCATTGCCTGCCCTCTCCACTTACTTGCAGTTTTATTGCTTGAGAGAGGTTGGAAGGAGCCACTTGGGGGCATATTCAGGCTCTGCTTGTACCCTGTTGCTGGTCGTCTGGACTGCAGTGTATTTATGTACAGAGCTAGTCATGGCTTAGGTAGCCCTCCGCCTCAGCGACTGGGCTTGTAACTAGCTCTCCTTCTTGTACAGCTTCCTTACTTGCCTGAATTTTGGATCAGAATTTGGTGTTCAGGCAGAAATAGGCAACCAGATGATCAGCTCTGCCGTGAATGGTGGGAGAGGCACTGCGATGACTCTGCTCTGTGATGGGAATATAGCTGTGAGGTTCCCATTTCTAAAGGCTACAAGGCACAGGCATTTCTGCAAACTTGAATATACTACAAAAATCAACCATGAAGTGTACTTACATTAACCCATTGGTTAAATGCAGCTGCTTCTGACAGAGTAGATAACTCCTGATTAGAAAAAGGAGAGAGCAATGAGTATGTAAGCTAAAACTAGCTGTACCAAAGTACTCTTGCTGTAGCTTGTGGTGTAACGCATTGTGTCCGGCCTGACTGATGTGACATGGAGGAGGAGGTCTTCAGTACGTGTGAAAAGGGAGGATATTCATGTTTTTCTAGTACTGATACTTTTTGGCAATGGGAATAGTGAGTTACCAACTCTTTTGAAAACCAGGCCATCTATAGCTTTAGGTGTATTAAGTATTCCTGACCTTCATACGTAATGTGTACTGACCCCAGGCTAAGTGGTAATTTTCTAGGAATCTAAACTTAAATCTTTTCTTAACTCCATGCAAAATTAATTGAAAGAAGGTATGTTGGTTTGGTTGGTATTTGTACAGCATCTTATGTATCATCCTGCAAGCGGAGAGCCTTTATTCTGCCACAGTACTTATAACAATGATAGATGATATGAGCAGGGGTGGCAGATAGTAGTAGGAACTGTGTAAGATTATTGCCAGTGGCTGGGACAGCTGACACTTTCATTTTTCCTATGGTGTTGAATGCATATTTATTTCACCGATTTACTTATTTTGGTTTTATTTGCCTGCCGGTCAGCATGATTTGTTTTAACATAATGAATTGATCATTTCCACTGAGATAGACCTCAAGGCACAACTTCAGAAGAGCTGGGTGCTCACTGCTCCCAGCTGGGAGGTGAGTGCTTAGCACTTCTGCGGGTTAGGCCTCGGAGGCTGGCATTTTTCAATTTGTCTTAAGAAAGAAATAGCTCAGATCCCTTAGGCCCGTTTCCAAGCTATGTTTTTAAACACAACAGATCATTTATGTATCAAGCAAGCATCTCCCGTTGGGACACCATTTGCAGGTAACACTGGTGGCCATCATATTTTTCTAACTGTTTATAATGGCTTTTCTGTCTCTCTGGTTAAGATCCAGTGTGAGAACTGTGCAGTAGGTCCTGTGCTCAGAGAAGATGACCATCTTACTTACCTCTGCCGCATTTCCGTAGCATATTCTACCATCTCCTTCGTAGCCCTTTGGGCACACACACTCCCAGCCTCGAGAAGAGTCAAACTGACAAGTTGCCTTTGAACCAGAAAAAGAGAACATTTGTCACTGAGGAGACCATTCAAGAGCAGGGATGGCCTGTAAAGCCTCTTACTGAAGCCCATTCATATGCAAACATAAACTTAACAAAAGATCTTTGCACCATCTTCCATGAACGTCCTCACCCTCCTATAGGACGAACTCCACCAGCTGAGGGGACTAACTCCCTCATCTGCCCACCATGCACTAAGTCTATAGGAATCTAAACCCTTCCTCCACCCTTTCTTACTTCCTCCCTATATAAACTGGGCCCTGTTTCTTCACCCAACTAAGGCAGATCCATCCTCTACTCCCCAGTGCTCTTTGCTTTAGCTCTGTCCCTGTGTCCTGCCTGAGGCTGGTGTGGCTCTTGCAGGCACTGCGGAGCACAGCAGAGCCCATGGGTCTGCTGAACACATGCAGCTACTGAATAAAGCTGTGTGCATAGAGATGCATGACTTGGGTAAACATCCCAACAGGCTAGTGCATCCAAATTTTAATTGCTTGTAGAGAAGCAGCATTTATTTATTCCAGGCTTGAGGCAGTCCTTCTCTACAGGAAGGCTTGGAAGCAGCCCTTGCAGTCTGTCCTCGGTGTACGTAGCATGGTTCACATAGCATTTTTGGTGCTTGTAGCTGTGCTTGAAAAGCTTTGTTCCAACTCAAACAGAAACTGCAGGCTTGAAATGGCAAGGAAATTCTATGGTGTGTGCAGGAGGCGAGGTGTGATATGTATCTGAACACTTTGTTCAGGGAATGATTAATTACTCACCAGATGATGGCATTTTCCATTTTGTTCCAGGCATGAGTTTATGGGTGTGCATTCAATTCCGTTCCCCTGAAATCCATCCTTACACTTGCAGTCATTCTGTCATTTCAATAAAACACAGCAGTTCATTAAAATGATTAAAATTGTGTGCATACTCTAGACGTGGTGAATTAGTCTCTCTGTGTTTCTATGTAGCTCCATTGACTTCAGTGGAATGGCACGGATTAATATCTCCAGAAGACCTTTATACCTGACATCTACTAATGTACTTACTAAAAAGCATTTACTGCCAGAACACCACCACGTAGGAGGGAGGGAACTCTGGGATAGGAACTGAAGGAGACTGCTTTGGGTGGAGAGCACTGGGTGGAAATAACCTTGTAGCTGGGAGGGATAGGAGAATTTGGGGAAGAAAATGGGGTGGTAAGCACTGGCAGAGCAAAATGGATAGAGGACTAGTGTCAAAGGTGACAATGAAAGTGAAAGGATGTACCTGACCCGGCCCAATGTATATGCAGGTGGCATTTTTGTGGCACCCTGGTGCAGTGGGCAGGAGGCAGTTGTTGATGGCTGAGCAGTCCCTTCCGTCGCCTGTCCATCCTGCCTGGCAAACGCACGCCTGCTCTCCTGGGCCCGTCTGAATGCACTCAGCCTGGCGGGGATCCAGAGGCAACCGTTCAGGACAGTTAGGTGGCATCTGGCTTTAGGTGTAAGGCTTGTCTAAGCAATAGCAATGATGCTATCTGGGGAAAGAGCCTGAAACTGCAGGGAAAATCGTGACTTTTCCGTCTGCAAAAGTTTCTGGCCAAACCTTCTTCACTGCCTACTTTTCTGTGGTGTCAGACTCTGAGGGAAAAGCACATACTTACATTGATATTGCAGCCACCTGGGTTTAAAGCAGCACAAGGGTCAACTTTACTGCAGCTCATGCCATCTCCCTCATAGCCAGGTTTGCAAACACAGCTATAGAGACAAGAGGAGGAGGGAGGCATTAAATGTGATAGGACAGCTGTAAAGTGAAGTGATTGTTTTGCACCATAGCATGCTATTTATAGGCAGCTTAAAGTTGGTAACCTTGGATTTATGATGCAAATAGCTTAAGTGTATACTTATGGTTCTTTTCCAAAATATTGACTGGGTTAATTAAGTCAAACCAGGGATCCATTCTCCATGTATGAGATGGGGAGTGAAATTAATTCTGCACTGGTGTGATCTTTGCAAATGTGAGCTAATAGCTCTAAATTAATTATGAGCTGGTGTTGCTCTTTCTTTCGGCGACACAGAAGATAGCTCTCTCCCTGAAATGCATGCAAGACACCGAGTCCCCTGTTTCCTTGGGTTGTCCCCCCCAAGATTAACCCATATCAGAGGGAATCTCTTAAGCACTCAAGTTGTGCAGCATCCCCCATTCTGCTTTCTGTGGTGACTCATTATGAACACACTGCGGCAAGAGGCAAACTTGCTGCGTGCGAAGGTGAGTGTGAGGCAAGCGCAAGGCAGCTGTAGCAGTAACAAAGTTTTGTGACCAGGACTGGAGAACCTGTGCTGAAGTCCGTGGTTTTACGGCATGCAAATCTTACCTGAGCTGACCAGAGTGAGTTATCTGTCCCCAAACTGCTTGAGAGTTTCATTGTTTTCCAGTAATGCTCAAACTCCTAATTCACTAAGGAATTGTTAGAAATAAGAGGTTTCTAAGAGACTTTGTAGATGTTGGCAGGAAGGCAGCCTTCTGAACAAGGGTCAGATCCGTATGCATCTGTCTTGTCAGTCTTAAATGTCAGGTACAAGATAGGGCATTGAGATCTTTTAATTACTATCTTGCAACTCAAGGTCGATGCGGTGCATGTTTATTTGCTGCATAGTGGTATTTCAGTGGCTGATGTTTGTGTACTGCTACAAGGTGCTGTTTTGATCACACAAATGGGAAAGAGCTGCAGCATAGTTAATATTAATTAGATACAAGTTACTGACTTACCTCACTGCACCATCGCTAAGCTGACAGTCTGCATGTGCATGGCAGAGCTGTAGGGAGGGCTCACAGGCAACAATCTGCTTATCACAGAGTTTCCCTGTGTATCCGCTTCTGCATGATCCAGGAAGACAGATCCCATCGCTGCTGATTCGGTTATCACACTCCCCATAAAGGCAGAGGCAGTCTACCAGAGAGAAATTACAATGTGCAGTTCCACAGTGGTAAAAGGCATCTATCCTTACATAGCATTTCTTATGAATCAAGTCCTCCTTGCTTTCTGGAATCTAAACTTTTGTATTTTTAAAGTCTCATTTTGTTGAGGGACTTGTTTATTTATCATATCCATGTCTTTTCAGGTGTGTTTTATGTGTAACTATTTAAAATGTATTGTGTCTTTATAGTGCAGTTATGTATCAATGAATTTCAAAGTACTTCAGAGAGGTACAAGCAAAATACTAGTTCCTAGGCTATTAAGGCTAAAGTTATTTCATTGCACAACTTTTGGTGTACTGCCAGTGATATGAGAAGCCTTTTAATATTGAGTCCACAATCCTACAAATTGCACGGTGCTGGGCTATACACAGAGCAGCAGCACAGACCTACCAGCCCTTTGCTGGCACTGGGCTATCAGTGCTGCTGGGAGGCGCAGCAGTGTGCCCAAAGAATATCATAGGTAAGCCTTCTGTGATCCCAAGAAGTACCAGTGGTGACTAGTTAAGCCAAGATGTACTGCGTTGGTGGGACTAGAGCTTGGGCAATACCGCCTTTTCTCATGGAATTTATCTCTCAGTTTTTGTCCATGTACCTCTGAACCTTTGAGTGAGCTGTGCTTCGTGAATGACAGGCTGTTTCATAGCAAAAAAGACTAAGAATGATTTTGTAGATGGGGAAGATATCTATATTTAATGTTGTATATTCTGTAGACTTTCAGATGTAGTATGGTTTGACATAGCAGGATTAAATCTGTCAGTATATAGAAGATGACTGCTGGAACGATAAGCTATTCAATACATCAGAAATTATTCAGTAAGGATGGTTATTAAGTGGCCCTAAACACAATCTGTTTATAGATCTAGTTGTTGTTAGATTATATATGTTTGTCATTGCTGGCAGAATCTGTTCTGTTGTGGGCAATACCAGATGGGAATGGAATAGCAAAGATTTTCTTTTCAATTACTTATGTGAGGGAGACAGAAATGAAAAGAACAATAAATTAGTATAAAGCAAGCTACGACCCCTGCAGAAAGCCCAATTAAGTCAGTGGGAAGATTTTCACTGACTCTGGGCTTGTGATGTACCCCTTTGAAATAAGAAATGAAAGTACCCCAGAGACATCTTGCTCCTCCACCGTAGAGACTGTTTAACTCCTGCCTTAATGTTACTCCGGTCCAAAAGAAGTAGCCCATGCTTTTGTGTTGAGGAACTATGGCTGTACTCACCCCTGTCACACCGAGGTCCATATTTGCCAGGGTCTGAGCAGAACTGACAGTGCGAGCCCTGAAATGCCTCAGCACAAACACAGGTCCCATTTCCATCCAGGCCATCCATGCACTGTGATATGGAAGAGAGGTGATTTCCATGTATAAAGTGAAATAAAACTTTATCCTTCCCCCAGATAAGAGATTATATGCCTGTCCATATTGTGACTGTGATAGACTACCAGGAAGAACCTCAGCTTTCATGAAAAGGATGTTTCAAAGCAAAAGCTTTCCTTGTGCTCGTACTTTGCTGCTGTGTATTCTACCTTCCTTTGCAATTTTAAAGTGAGAACAGTGAGCTAGGTCATTACCCCATGCTGTGCAAAGTAAAAGTATCAGGATGGTCACCCAGCCCTACCCTTGCCTGTCTGCTGTGTGTTGGAACCACAGAAACCTGCAGTGTGGACACCTGAGAGGGGACCGATTCATTTTCCCTCCTCTGTGTAACTGAACCTGAAATTCATGGCCATCACTGGACATAAATGGAGGGTGTAGCTCTTGTGGACCCTAATGTTCCTGTTGGGCAGAATTGCTTCAGGGACTTTTGGGACACAGCCTGTCCTTCCCGCTGCGGGAGCGCAGGGTGCTGCCGGATGCTCTGCTTACCTGCCCGTTTCCTGAGCAGGGTTTGGAGAAACCTCCGGGACACGGACTGCAGTCAGGGCCAAAGAAGCCTTTGCAACACTTTGGTTCCTGTGAAATAAAGCAAATACCCTCTTTTCGAGTGCCTTAGTGCAGAGACAGTGCACAAAAGACAGCTGTCCATTGTGTTTTGGCTCTTTGGCAAAGGCCTGTAGGGGTAGCTGGCTCTTAAAAGGCTTGTGTTGAACCAGAACTGCCACTGCAATGGCCTTGTTAAAACCAGGAGGGGTGTTGGCAGCCCAAGAAAGGGATGCACAGACCATCAGATCCTTCCCTTGTTCTTATCAGCCTCATCAGTGTTAGAAATCCCCATCCTGTCACCCCTTATGAACATGTCTGTGTGTGTCTGCTTGTATTGTGTGCGTTCTTGTATTTGCCAGTGGGAGTGCAGCGCAATTCAGAGGCAGGCAGTCTCCTTTGCATCTGGGATCAGAAACTTTAAGAAATGTTTTACCCCAGGGAGATGCTGTGAAAATTAGACATGCTGCTTGGATCTTCCTCCTTCCCCTCTGCACCAGTGTGGGATTTAGCCACTACACAGCCCTAAATGTTTTTCTTGGCTGCATCTTTTGTTTTATTCATGAACTGGCTGCTTGATTCATTTATTTATCAGGAGCACAGAAAGTGTATTAGAAAAAACTCATTTACATGTGTAATTCAAGGGAAATAGGAATTAGCAAAAGACTCTCAAAGCTTATGGATTTGTAGACTTCTGTGCTTGTTACTTAATGGTGGTCATGAAATGTAGAAGCCCATTTAGAACCCAGAAAGGTGTAAGTGCTTCTCAGGGGCTAATGACTTCTGTGAGGACTGGACTTGCCAAGCAGAGCAAGTGGAGCGTGGTTCTTGGGAGTGTTTCCCATTCATTGTTATCCAATGTTGTGTGAAGTCCTGGAACAGGAGGGGCTGAGACCAGGGAGGACCGAGCTGTCCTGTTCTTTGGGGTGAAGCTGTATGGGGCAATGAAATATCTGGGCTTGAAGTCTTATGTGAAAATTCCTGCATTACAGAGTATGAGAATGTTGTTGTCATCAGTAATGTATGGCAGCTAAAAAACCTCGCTGGAATTTGCCTCGTATTTTGCTCTAAGATTTTCAGTAGCTCCTCTCAGTCCCCTGTAGAAGGGTATGGAAACTACATGGACATCTCCAAAGATCTCTCAGCTCCCAAAGGAAAGTTCACAATGCAAAAGACAGTATTTTGGAAAACTTTTATGTATGTTTCACCTTAAGGAACCATAATTCTATACCTTTATTGTTATATTGCAGGCTCTAGTACAGCCGGTTTTTTGAAAGCTTGGGCCTTCAATAGTGCATCTCCGTTTTGAGAAAGGCTGGAACATGCACAAAAGGGAAGCATTAGTATTTCTAAGCAACGTGGAGTTTCATAATACAAACTTTCTTTTCATTATTACTGAATAATGGCATATAGGTTATTACTGAATGTGGCATATAGGACTAACTACCAGTGAATTTTTATAACACGGGGAACAAGATTCCTGTGGCAGCTAAACCTGAGTTTTGTACGTGGAAAAACATGCTGCCAGATTTGCATCTCTTAGATGCAAAGCAGATGGAAGATTTTCAGTCCTTTCTGAAGCTGTTTCTGCAGACAGTTACTTCTGGGAGGATGCTTAATCAAAAGGAAATTTTTAACAGATGTGAGATGTATTTTAAATGTATCCCTCATTTATTTTTCGTTTACTAACTCTCAAAGAATAATTGTAGTAATTCTTATTCCTCACCTCGCTCTTCTGCCAAAGCCTATCCAAAATAGATCTTACTTTACCTGAGAAAAGAGTCAAAGCTTCTATGAAGTCTACAAAGCATCTTGCAATGGCAAAAAGAATAATGCTGAAATTACCCAATGATTCAATCATTGTGAAAAAGAGACTAAAATATTGTCTATATTTGTAATTTTATGCAGTCTCCTGTATTAATATCTGGTTCTTTTGCCCAGTATATTGGGAGAGCAGTAATCGACGTATGGGGAATCCTTCCGTCTATGCATTTTGTACAACTGGGGAATCTGTCTGGAAATGTCACTTACGACGGGCTTTGAATCCCGCGGACAGGGAGCCAATGCATGTGATGAACAACTTGTACAGACACCCTAGATGGAAACAATAAGGATAGTCATTTGAAAAGGCATTATACCAGCTACTGAGATGCATACTTACGGATGATTTACCCTATAAACTTTGAGTACCTCTACTCTAGGACTTTTAACTCTTACAGCGTGGATTTGGAACCGAACAGCAGCACAAGGGCTATTGTTCTGGCTGGCTCTGATTTCCACCTTCCTCTTTTTATCTTCATTTGTCCTTTCCCCACTCCCTTCTTTTAAAGAAACGGAAGCTTCCTAATCGGAAGATAAACATAGGCACAAATGTACTGACGTCCTTTGCTCAACCCAGTATATTAACTAACATTGTCAGAGGGTCTAGCGCAGTCTGCACACTTATCTTCTATGAGAATTTTTTGTTTCTTCCTAGGAAGACCACAAATTAGTTGAGTCTCATATATAGACAGTGTGAACAGAGACTTGTCTTGTGTATAGATGGTGAAGAGAAAAATATTCTTTGCTTCCATGTCGTAGATCCTGTACTCCACTATGATCCAGTGGTATATAAGTATTTTTTATGTCTTCTCCTTTTGATTACCTTTCCCCATTACCTAATTTGTCACCATGTAGTGGTGACAGAGACTGGCAATTACAGGAGTGAGGAGATACAAACTCCAGTGACAGTTTTAAAGGTGAGTCCTCTGACAAGCTCAACATGCAATAATTTCAGAGAAGTTAAGCCTTTCAGAGTGTGGATACGGAGTTTGTCAAAGCTGTGTTGTTTGTTACTGTTAATATCTTGTGTTTTGATCAAGTTAGAATAAATCCTGGAGCTGACATGTGGTATGGTACTTCACTTTGTTTCATAGTTGTTGGACAAGTGACCACGAACCCAAATTACAGCATTTTCCCCACAGATTTATCACTGGAGCTGCAGGGAAAGAAGCAGGTACTGGTTTGGCTTTAGAAGAGCCTCATGATGTACAGCTCTTGAAGGAATAAAGGACCAGGCTTACAAAAGCATCTGGGCATCAAATAGTTGAGGTACCAATGCCACTACTATGTTTTAAAGGTCTGTAGGTCAGATGTATTTTGGCAAATACATTTGGGCATTATAAAAGTTCTTTGATAAGCTGCGTAGTCATGGCTGAAGCTGATTTACGGTCTTACCTTTCTTTGCATTTCTGAAAATCCCTGCAAGTGCCTCTTTGCTCCTTTAGAACTTAAAAATCTGGCTGATTGCTGTGGAAAACATTTCTCTCTGTTGGCGTTGCTCTCCCTGCTGCTCAGTGCCACTCAATGTCACCTACTCACTCCCTTTCTCCACCTTGGATGGTCTCGGCCATTGATGTGTACCTGCTCCCTCCTCTTCCTGAGGATGGCAGTCCTGTCTCTCCTCTGTCACACTGCAGAGAAAAGCATCTGCACTTCCACACAAGGTCAGATCTTCCCATTTTCAGGAGTCGGTGAAGATAACTGCCTTTGCACCAAAGTAACTGAAGCATAGGCATATATTCCCATATGTCAAGTCTGCCATGGGAGCGATGACCTCTAGGAGGAGGTGGTGCACACAGCTGGGGACAGCTCAGAGCATCTCTTGTCAGAGGGTATCAAAACTGGCCACAGTTCACACATCAGGGAGGTGCTGAGGACCTGTTGTCTCTCCTGTGCTCTTTATGGCATTATAAATAAGCACTGCTGTCCTTCAGTTAGGCTCAGGTACAGCTTTCAGCATTCGGGTATGGTTACACAGGTGTGTATGTGTTAGCACAGTGGTTTCGTCTTTAGGGATGTAAAGTTCTTGTAGGTGTGTACACCTGCTAGTTCCTGCAAGTTTTGTCTCTTTTTATGGGTACCACAAGTAGTATTTAGGAGGTGATATTTCTCCTGTTTTTCAAGAGTGATGAAGATGTACAGTGAAAGGTAAGAACAGCAAAACCATTGCTCCGTTCTGGTGTTGTCCTTGGTAGCAGTGCTCTGCTTAAAGCCTTGGATATTAAACTATATTTTAAACTATGCATGAAGCTTTCAAAGCTGACAAAAGTGCCTAACTTCACTTTGGGGAATAATCTTTGCAACAGATGCTATTTGTTTTGTCTTTAAATTATTTTTCTCAGTATTGCTTTAGGATTGATTGATGTCAGACATAGATTGTAGGTATGTTCCTGCTAAGGAATTCAGGTTACTCAAATGTTCTGGGTGTTGATTGCTTTTTGTATTGGAGATTGCTGCTCGGCCCTCTGCCTGGTTTAGGATTATATTGCACATAGGGCACTTTGTAGTTACAGCCAGAGGTAATAGTTCTTTACTGACAGCTCTTGTGTTTTCTTCATTAAATTTTGATGCTGTCCAGCTCTGCTGGGAACCACTTTCAAGGCTGTGGTTCTGGACTGTTGTAAGTTACGACAGTAAATGTTTTGCATTACTGTACCGGAACTGTTACTGGGCCAGATATGTGCTTGAACAGAGTCCAGTAACAGCTCACTGGAGCCATCCTTACCGCAAACGAAAAGCTCAATCTGGTGCTCGGTCTGCTGACCAGAAATAGTATCTGAATGTTACCGAGTGTAAAGGCCTGTACCGTGCTACTAAACTGAACAAAGTATGTCGAAATCCACCCTTTGAAATATGAAATGGTTTTCTAATTCCCAATTTGAAGAAAATGGGAAGAAAGCAGGGCTAGGGGCAATTATAACTTCTATTTCTAATATATTAATATAAAATTAATTATCATGTTAATGTTCTAACTTGCTGTCTCCTTTCCCTGCATCCTTAGTAGAAATGAAAGTACTGATCTGGAGTAGTTTCCCTGGGAACTTGACACTGCTTACCATGTGCTTGTATGCACAGATGGGATTCAGGAACTGAAGGAAAAAGTTTGACTGGAGACAGAACATATTTAAAAGGGCTACTGCAAGAACTAGATGGTTAAAGTGGTATAGAATGTGCTCATATGATTTTCCTGTTTGCAAATTATTTGTGCAGTACTGCTAGCCAGGTAGCTGTATGTCATTGATATATTAATTTCCAAAAACTACTCCCTTTTTTTATGGACAGTATCAGAGAAAGTAGTATAGAGGAAGCTACAGTGCTTTGTATAGAACAGTTAAGAGCTATTGATTTGTTGTGATTCTCTTACCATTGCGACTTGACTTCTTGTCTCATCACACCGATGTGGCAGAATTGGAACAATTGTGGGTGGGATAAGAACTCCTGCAAGAGTATAAATGCGACCATTTTTTGCAACAATATCTGTTTCTTCTATTTCTTCTCCACTCACCAAGACTTGTCCCTATGAAACAACAAATTGTTATTAATAGTAAAATTTTCATAGCTTCTCAATTTCTGATAATTTAATTTCAAGGATTTCTAGTCTACTTTTTAATTGGCTATCTATTTTTTATTATGCTTGTTTTATGCAAGAAGTATACATATGTTGCACATTTTCTTGAATACTGATCTACAACAGTGGTATCTAAAGTTTTCCTCTTAATCTGCACTGGTAGCCTGTGGAACTGGTGACTAAAAGACTGGCCAAAATGGGAAGACTAGTGATGACTTCAGGCACTGATTTTGGCAGGCATAAGCAATCTTTGGTCCTCTCTGACAAATGGGGGAAAAAGTGAGAGAGAATCTGGGATATATCCAAATTCACAGGAGGAGGAAAAAAAGTATTCTTTCTGCATTTACTCCTGCAACTACTCTGCCTTTACAAGAATTTTCAGAGGTGCATATCTTCTCCAGAACAGAAGGGAGTTAACACAACAGATAAGTTGAGTTTTGCAAAAGTATTGACAAATTAATACCTTTTAAAAAATGTGTTCACTAGGTTCACCACGATCAGAGACTATAATATTAAAGAGAATAAAAGAATATCTATGTGTGCATTGAGAAGTGTTTAATATAACTGAAATATGTAACAGAATGATTTAAATTTATTTTTTTTTTTTTAACTAGACAGAGCATAGATGAGGATCATTCCTGGACTGGGGCTAATCATAAGAAAAAAGAAACTGCAGGCTGTCCTTATATACCAATCATTTACTCTGCATCTTTTATAATACTAATTTCTAACAGCAGGTGGGAATGGCAAGTTGCAAATTTCTGCCTCATTATAGCAAGAAATTCCTCTGCTAATGTCCTCATCCTCCCTTTTTTATTCCCCCTGCATGCAAACTGTTGCCTAGATCAGAGTGAGCTGTTCACAGGTGAAAGCTGCCTTTGACTTACAGTGCTGGTCCTGTTAAAGTAAATGAACTGCTTCGCCATGCTTCTGATGTGGTTTATTGAGACGAGGCTGGCAACCTCTAGCTGAAATGAATATAAATGGATTGAAAAAAAAGTCATATCATTATTCTTTTCAAATCCAGATGGATTTCACAAGAAAGACAACCTTTCTCTTTAGGGTGAGCAAGTGACTGTATTAGCTACATGGGCAGCCTCACATTGACTACCCTGCTTGTGTAACAAAGTTAGAGTGATTAAATTTTGACTGAGCTTGCTGATTACTGCATGTGAATAGCTTGTTGTCACAAAAGATATTAATTTTACTCCTGATTGTAGCAACCAGTCTAGGTAAAGTTATCACCTCTCCCTAAAAATAGCCAGGTTTGATCCCTGGACCATTGTGGAAATGGCAGTGCTGATATCCTGTGAAGGGATGCGTGGATCTCATGCCTCTGCTCCCTGTGATCCCGCTCCATGACCTCTGCCTTGGATGCTGTGAGCAGGGCCTTTCACTAAGGATATGAGCACTTCCTTCCTTCCTTCCCCACAACAGGGGCTGAGGTGGGGATGAACTTCAGTCTCCTCTAGCCTTAGATGCTAGTGGTGTTATTGGGTTCTGCTCTTTCTTTCCAGTAGAAAAAAGAGGGAAAACCAGGGGGCTGGCTTACAGGATGACAAAACTACCTCTCTCTGATAAACAGAAGGCTAGTCTTAGCAGAATAGGCTCAGAGGGAGCTTGATTTCGATAGCAACAAGTACTTTTCCTGCTACTCTTTCCTGCAGCCCTGCGAAGCTGAAGGTACCCCCGACAGCAGTTCTTGCTCCATGGCAGGCTAAGGTAGCGGATCTCAGGTTCAGGATGACTATATATATGTTGTGTTTTTTTCTTTCCACGCTTGGGCTAAGTCCCCGTCACCAAAAGGTATATTTTAAAGTGGAAATAGTTACTTGTATATAACACGCTAGTATGACACAATGGAGTTTTAATTTGCTGTTATTCAAGGACTACCCCATGCCTCATAGAAGGATTTTATTTTGATTAGTGACACAGAGGTGAAAGGTTTGTGTTCTCTGTTAGTGACCTTTATGTGACTACCCTTAGTACAGACAGAGGCATAGCTGTCCTTTGCATCTTTGCTGTGCAGCACCAAGTGGAGGTTGTTTTTGGAAAACCTCTGCCTTCAGAGTGGCAAAGGTTTTAAAAATGCTCTTACACTCTGAGTCAGTAAAGCAGCCATGCTCACCTCAGTATCGGAGACAATGTGGTATCGGACCAGCTCCAGCAACTTCCATGAACCCTGTCAAAGAAGAAATGAGGCTGTTTCAGCCCAAAATGAGTCACATGAACCCAGCCTGGCCTGTTAAGAGGATATGGGGATGAGAACGGTGTCACTGGCTGGTGCACCAGAAACCCCTGGGTCAGTGGTTGTCCTCAGCTCATGACATGCACCCTGTCACTCTATGCCCTCACCCCTACAACACTTTGTATTTTGGCATGGGCCTTTCACAACTTGTGTGTGTGTTGGGAGAGGTAGGAGGTGTCCAGGGGACAGGACAACAATGTCCACCTCCTGGGACACCACCGGCAGTCTTCCAGCCAATGGGGCCCTTCTGGCATCTGCTCTCTTTGTCTGTTCCCACCAAGGGTGACACCTTCCAGGAGAGGGTTTGGGGCTTTGCCATGTGGCTGGCCAGGCTGTGCTGTCTGGGCAAGAGCAGGAGAGTGAGGGCCTTGTGCAGGGGATCGTCATTGCTTTATATGATGGGAGACCCCAAATCCTGTTCCTCTCTAGGCATTGTCTTGATCTTTATTTGTTAGAGATGGTTTAAGCCTTGATCATAGGAGCTTAGCTTAGATGAACACTGGACAATGTATGTATGCATCTGCTATATATCTACATATATATATACACACACACTATCTGAGAAAGATTTGCATTATAGAAAAAACATACCTCTGCAGAAAGCAGGTAATCCAGAGCCTCAACTTTCATGTTATTCAAAGCCTCGTTACTTGGAACAAAGACTGTGTAAGGCCTGTTGTCCAGCTGTAAATCCATTGCCAGGCCAGTTTTCTGTTTTGGTTTAAAAATAAAAATTAAATTGCGTATTAAAATTGCAGAACAGCTGAAAATAGCTTTGTAGAATTGCTTTTCTGGATCCTTACCTCTATCAAAGATGTAAATCGGCTGTATCTTCCATTATTTTGAAGTACTGACATTATGGTTTCCTGAAATAAGATGAAAGTAAGATTTATTTTAGTTGGGAACATGGAATAAATACCAGTTCTTACAAAACACTTTTTGAATTACTGTATGCAACCCAGTTATTACAGATTGAATACGTTTGGGTTTCCTTATTGCTTGGGTGGAAGGTAGTGTCTGGAAATGGCTGAGATGGTAGCACTCTTGTCTTGGTGCTATACTGATTTAGAGTTTGTCATTGTTCTGAAATACTGTGTAGTCACACAACATATAAACAGTGTGTGTGTGGTGAAAGTGTTGTTATCTCTTCATTCCCCATCAGAAAGGGCAGAGAAATAAAATATTAGAAAAAACATAATATAAAGAAGGGAACTGTCAAGGAATTATGCTAAATAAGGCACCAAAAAACCCCAAGCATCCAAAATCATCAGTTTTTATATTAGCCTTTTGGAGGGAAAGGTTGCTGCTTTGAATACAAGTCTTGCCTGATACCTGTCCAGAGGTCCCTCCTTTTTGTATGTTGTTCTGGAACTCAGTGAGATGCAGTGATCGTGACTGCCAATTTCCCAAGGAGCCGCTCAAATGCAGTGAGTACAACCAAATCCTCCATGGACCAGCTTGGCAGAAGAGTAAATGTCTCTTTGCTGTGGAAACTGTGTCATTACCTTTCCCTTTAAATGTTGCTTCTCTGAGCTGGTGCACAGTGGCTCAGTAGAGTTTATCTAGCTCTTGTCAGTCATCCTCCTTTGCATTCAGTGTATGTGAAATTGTTTTAAAAGGAAGTTTGACTTTGCATTTATATAGCTTACGGCTCACCTCATTGCTGCTTTCAAATGTTGGCTCCACGTTGTCCATGGCTTTGTCAATAATGTGCAAAATCCCATTGAAAGCAATAATATTTCCATGCAAAAGTTTTCCTTTCCTCCTTCCTCCTTGGATTCTAATTCTTAATTGATTATCCTGAAAGAAGCCAGGCAATGGATAGTGAGCTCTTTGTTACGGAATGACAACAGAGTGAGTATGCATGTTGAATAAAATTTAACACTCCCTTCCATTGCTAACACCTGGTTTGTTTAAATCTAGGGAGGCTAAAGGTTGCTTCCAATGCTTATCAAGGAAATGGAAAAAATTCCTTTGACTTTGGATCAGGACCATATTATTTTGTTTCAGGACAGCAAAGTTCAGAAGAGAAGCAGGGACAGGCCCTGTGGGGAGAGCAGTGTACCCAAAAGGCACTCATGACTGCTAGTAATAAAAGTCTGCCAGGAAATGATTTAAAATGTGATTGTACTGAAAGGGTCAACTCCTGTAATCTGAAGGGACTACAACCCATTTCCTTATATTATATGTATATTTAAACGAACAAAATGTTGCTGATTCTGCACTGTACTGAAGATTGCAGGAAACTAACAGACCTGAGACAGCAATGATATTTTCCTGTTACAAATGAAGTGTGTTCTCATTAAAGAAGTAAAATAGATCTCTCTTCTCAGATGCCACTGATCTACTGCAAAACATGAGAAGTGCTTGATGTCAGCCTTCACATAGGCCCAAGTCATTAAGAGACATTTAGTGGACCAAGAACAATAATTCCAGATTATAAAATCCAGTATATTAGCTGTAGAGAACAAATTTTTTAAAATGTAGAATCAGACTGCCCTACTATTTACTGACATCAAATAAGCTGGGCCAGTGATGATATTTACTCCATATTTTTCATGATAAATTGCCATGTGCATTTTATTTTTGCTGAAGACTTCTGTTTCCTGCAAGGATGCTGATTCCCAGTAGGAGGTGGGATCTGCAGTGCAGTTGGTGCTTGCTCTGTGTGAGCAGTTCACAAAAGTTTCCAGCATAAACTCTGGGCTTTTCCCTCCCCAAGCTACATCTTACTTCACCCAGGCTCTCTTAATGCCCACCCCGCCCAGCTCTGTTGGTCGTGCCTGCAGATTTAAGATGACTTAATTTTAGCAAACATTTTTAAAGCGGTCTACCTTAGACCGCTGGTCACTGAGGGGTGATGCATCTCTAAAGGTAATTTTTGTTTTCACTGATTTTAGTGGGAACTTTGATGCCGGTGAGGTTTCAAGTTTCACTAGAATTCCTTGTAACGTATGACCACAGCTGTGGTTTTTTATAATCCAGCAGCTATCTGCAGCCTGACATCTCACTGCAGAAAGACCTTTCATACTCCTTGCTGAGTGAACAGAGAGTAGTATTCTTGCTGAAGTAGGCTGGAAGGCCACTTACCTTTTCTCCCTTTGATATCTCTCCTGACTTGCCAGTCAAAGTATATATTACATTAGTATTATTCAAGCTACTGGTATTCAGTCGACCAGCAATTACATGGAGTTTCACGAAGTACTGTGCTTTCTGTTTATTATTCAGAAGATCCTTTATCTAGAAGAGCAGAAGAAGAGAGATTTATTTCAATGCAGCATTCGTCTAAAAAAAAATAATCTCATGGTGAATGCTTTTTTCCCTCCAGCTGCTACATTCTGAAATAACATGTTTTTCTCTGAAGTGAGGTGATAGGGTCTGATCCAAGTGGAGGCCTCTCTTGTTTTCAGTTTAGATCATATCCTCCTGTCCCTGCAATAGCAGTAGATGCCTCCAGAGCTGTCCTGACTTCAGGGTAAGGTAATAGATGCTGACCATTTACATCGGACTCCTTTATTTTTTTTTTTTTTAACTAAACCCATTATTTGTTATCACTGCAATCTACCCCCATTCGCCAAATTATTTTGTTTTTCTTTCAAGTACAAAAAAAGAAAATCTCTGGGCCTGACATTTAAATGTATCCAGAAGTGGACTAGAGCGAAAAGTTCTGAATCTGTTGCATCAAAAGACTTTTAACACAGATGAGATTTCTGAAGGAACTAAATCCCCCACAGTTTAAAACCCTCTCTGTTGTTTACTTACATTTGTACCTTTGAGCCCCTTGTTTGTTGGTACAAGCACGGTAAATGGTCCCAGAGTACTCAGTGGCCATTCATAGGCATTTTCTGATAAGGAGAGAGGGGGAGAAAAAAAAAAAGTTTAAATGTGTATTGAAAATGTGTACTGTGCCAGGTATGCAAGGGCAGAATAAGAAAGAACATTATCTGTGATTATTAAATGTTAATTTAAGATTCTAAAATCCAAGTCGTTGAAAGATTAGAGACAGATGGGATGCAAAATCCAGGTGCTGCTGCATATTTGACACAGGATGAGGCATTCAGAATGCTTCTGGCACCCTGGATTCTGTGATAGGCAGACCAGGGTGAGGGACATGAAAACAGCATTTCTTTGGAGATGTGTCTTTACATGAAGACAGTCCCCTGCTTTAAATCAATTCACTCTTCATGGGATGAGGGATAGGGTGCAAATATCAGCAAACACACAGCTGGTAATAAAAGCTGATGCACTGAAATTTAGTAAAGTTCATTTGCTACCCAGATGGTATTTCTGTTTCCAAGACAGCAGTATAAGACCACTGATTCTGTAGCTGAAGGCATTAAATATTTCTATTATTAAGGTTCTTTTTCCAGAGGTTTGAAATCAGAACTAAGACTATCTTTACAACTGTTATAGGTATGTTGTACCAGAGAATATACCTCAAAATTAATATACTGTCTTACAAAACAGTGTGGACTATTCTGCTGTATATTCTTAGTTTTTGAAAGACATTAATGTGGAGTGAATATATTGTAAAATAACCTATGAAGGTAATGTGTCTTTGTAGCTTCTGGCTAGTAAATCAAATGGCACATTTATGTCCAAAACTTAACCAAAGAACATAAAATCTGGATTGTTGTTAATAAATGGTGTTGCCCAGCATATCAGGCACTTTTCAGACACATAAGGACAAACACACAGAGAAACTGCAACTGAGCTCTTAGCGCTGAGGCAACGAATTTTGGTCTTCAGTGCTGAATGTGAAGGTCAGTGCCAGGCTTTGTCCTTGGCCAGCTATGGAGGATTCTTATTCTGTTCTGCTCAGGAATTTAGGATCTTTATTTTAATTGCTGGGCTCAGTGAAAAGGAACTGAGCAAATGATATTAAACAGGAGGAAATTTTTCATATTTACAAATTTAACTTGAATATCCAACTCCATTCTAGCAGTGTTTGTTCATAGCTCACTTTTGTGGCCATGCAGCAGAAGATGATGAAGGCAGTTACGCTGTTCTCTTCATGAGATGGCTGCAATAACTGCGAAAGGTGGGAAGCTGTGAGCCCTGACAGGGTCTCCACCTCACCTTGCAGACAATTTGGAAATCTGGAGACCCCCCAGCTGTGGCTGAACTGCTCTGGTGGCTGGTCCTGAGGGTGATGGAGACCATGGATGGGATCAATCTCTTCCCCTTACCTCTCTTCTCTTTCCTGGTGAAAGCAATGCCACTGCTGACGGCTGAACGCTGGGGAAGAGGGACCCAGCTGGGAATCCTGATGTTTTTGGTGGACTTCTTGGCATCATTCTAGATCAAATCTCAATTACCCAAATCAACGGAGGCAGGGAATGAGAAGACATGGGATGGTCCCACTTATCCCACTAGGGAGGAAACCCCACTGGTGATACCAAATGATATGTGAGGGGTTGTGGGAATGTGTTTAGCACTTCTGCTTGGAAATTCTTGCAGATCACATGCCATGGTGAGCAAAGGCAGCTTTAGTCAGTCAGAGGGAGTCCGTGGTGAGTAGCGTGCATGTGTGCCGTGTCAGCGGCATCTTCCTGCAGGGGGGAGTGTTGGGGGAAGACAAGGCAAGATCAACCCACCGAGCAAGGGCTGACTGTCCTTGCGTGTGGTCACTTACCCATAAGCAATAAGGCGGATGTCAGCCTGCCTTGCCACTGTCCTCCCACTTCGGTGTTCAGGTCCCGGAGGCGTTCCATGACATTTCCGTAGCACACAAACCCATTCCCCACGGAGCCCCCCTGGCATGTACACCTGTGAAGGAATTGTCATTTTAGCTGTAGGCTGGTACCTTGTGGTTTCAGTGAGGCTCTAGCTAAACCTGCGCCAGGGATTACTTAATTGCTTCTCTGAAGGCATCTTCAGGAAGCAGCAGTGCGTTTTGGGTTAACCTTTGCTTCTGTATGCTGTAAAGTCTGTCAGTGTGTAGGGCAGCCTGGTGACTGCTTGCCTGACATGATGGCCTTCTGTCAGCTGGGCCAGGAGGCAGTTGTATCTGTCTTGCAGGTCCTCTTTGAATGGGGGCTATGTGATTCCCCTGGCTGTGGTTCAGCCTCTGGTCCCCAAATGTTGTGGTTGCTGGAGCCCAGAAAGCCACTGAGCCTGACTGTCTGTGGGCAAGGAGAGGCTATGGCTAGAAATGAGGAGGCCTTTCTTCACAGGAAGGGTCATTTGGCATTGGAATGGGCTGCCCAGGGAGGTGGTGGAGTCACTGTCTCTGGAAGTGTTTAAGAAAAGACTGGATGTGGCACTTAGTGCCGTGGTCTAGTTGACATGCTGGTGTTAGGGCAAAGGTTGGACTCGATGATCCCAGAGGTCTCTTCCAACCAAATTGATTCTGTGATTTTGTGAAATGTGTGGGGTGCCACCCTTGCTGTGGGGAGGTGGTTGTGTGAAGCCCCCACTTACTACATGGCGCTCAGCAGGATTAATGTTAGTTGTGTATGAAGAGGGTGATGGCAGCTTGTCAATCCTTGCGATAGCTGTATGGGATTGGTAGAAACAGCGGTGTTAGTCCTTTCAACAAAGCAAAGTGGTTGGTTGTTACCCTGCCCTTTTAGGAATGCAACCATTTAGGGCAATGATACTTGCATTTAGACATTATTTTTTCTCTGAAGCTGCTGAAGCATGAAATCGCATGCTTTTTCAGATGTATGCTTTATGCTGCTGCTGTCTTTGCACTGGAAATAGCATCTCATCTGTAACACCCTGGCTGTCCCCTGGGGACTCTAGCCTGTGAGAAGTGTCAGTGATGTTCTGTTGACTCAGTCCTATGTATGTCCAAAGCAGGCTCAGGCCATGGTACCCACGAGAGTGATAGGCAATGCCTTGAGATGGGCTCAATGTCCTTACTGCCTTGGGATGGGCTGTATTTGAAGTACTGTGTTGCAGCCAAGGCAAAATCTAAAAGAAATTTATGGAAGAACATCCCCAAGTGTCAATTTGACATTTTCTGACCTATGACAGAGGGAACACCCCTCATGAAAACTGAATCTTACGGCCATGAAAGACCTCAGCGTTGCAAGAGAGGTGGGGAAGAAATTGTTGGTTGTCAACATGATTGATACGTGCTTGCTATTAGATGCTGACAGGTATGAATAGTTTTGAGTATTAAAGAGCAACTAGGACTTGCATGTGCCTTGACCTTGTGTCAGCCTGACTATTCACCAGGAGAGGTGGTTAGTACTTTCTAAAAAATCTGGACTCTTTAAGCCTGCCTCAATGTGAGGGGCCATCAAAGCCTGCAGGTTTTGCCAATCTCAGCATTTTCTGTTGCAGTCTTCAGAAAATCAGCCCCTGCTTGGCTGCTCCTGGGAGACTGGCTGGAGGTGTCAGCTCAGTCATTGACTCATCTTCAGTGCTAAAATTAAAGTGGGCACTTGTCAGCATGTAGCACGTACAGAAAGAAACCCGAACTATATTTAGGAGGCTAAACAACTACATGGTATGTGTTGTTAAACATTGGCTTTTAATAGTGCCTTTCCTAATTAAGTCTCCAGCCTGTTCAGTATTTGTATAAGCCCTATCCATAATGATTCATCTCTCTGGCTATTTTTTTCTAAAGGCATCATTAGAGAAGGAACATTACTCTACGCAAGCAAAAGATGTTCTTTATATAACTAATGACCTCATCTTTTGCATGCGCTGGTTGTTACAAACACACATCTGCCGCTCACATCCCACAGTAGTATCAACCTGATGCCAAATTATCTCCTGTTTCCCACTTATGGTCTCTACCATAGCTGTTTCTCTGATGATAGCAATATTATTTAAAAATCCCTACAGTCCCTACAGTCTTGGGGGCTGCATATAGACTCAGAGGCATGCTGTGATTTTGGCCAAGAGGTTCAAGCTTTGAATCTGCTAAAAATAGCAGTCTAAAAGCATCTTAAATTTTTAGGATGCAATTGTGATGGTGAGCCCTCTTCTTTTTAAGGAGATCTCTTGGGCAGAGGGTATGACTGTGGAGCCCAGACGAAAGGTTTAGGGTTGGGAGAGAGGAGCAGCTCCTCCTTGGGAGCTGACCTCTTTCTTCTGATGGGGTAAATATTGCTGTATTGATGTACATAGCCCCCTTCACTTCTGAGCACAGAAGAAAAAACCTGAGGCTTCAGAGGAGCCGAGGAATACTTTAGTAGAAAAAAGAAACCACCCTTGAAATACTCCACAAATTAGATCAAGGTTTCAAAATAAATCTCTTCTTTCTTTTTCAGCAAATGTTCGTAAAGAAGCAGGTGGTTAAAAATAGTATTTTTTTTTTCTATCATTTCCAGGGGTACAGTGAACTGCAGAAACACTTATGTAGTTTGAAACTCCTTTTCTGAGGACAATATTGCTTGTAACTGAGTGGGTGTCCAGTAACACAGTTTGGATTTGACTGCCAAAGGAAAGCATTTAGCAATTACAGATTAGCACCTATTGCATGGGATTGAACCCTTCAACCTGTCTGTCCCCTCACCCCTTCTGATGGAGTAATTTTATAATAGAGTTTTGGTTTACGAAGCTACTAATTTCTACATTGAAGACATAGAGTAAAAATAAGAGTGGGAGTGAAAAAGAAAATAGTTGAGTTTAGCTGAGGGAAAACCAGTTCTGCTTGGAAACCAGAGAGGTTATGGTCTAATATGCAGTGTAGTTCTGCACCAGTTCAAGCTTTGTAGCTTCTGGGCAAGGCTGAACATAGTTACTGTGCAGAAGCAATGCCATAGAAAGTGTCAGCACTCACTCAGGGAAGATCTATATGGGAACAGAAACAGAGACAATCTTGATTTTCCAGGAGGTTGCTGTGTTATGTTCGTAAACTAAACGTCTGTCTTCATCTTTGTCTCTGTGAGAGGTTTGTTCTTGTACAAATGATTTGATTCTGGAGAAAGAAGTGACTATATGGGGGAAGCTAACAGCACAACTGCATCTTTAATAAAAAAAAACAAAAACCAAAACCAAAAGAAAGGAAGCAATGCAGTTTTGTGACCTCTGTTACAACTTTGTGTTTTACAAGAAGTAAAAAAATCCACCAAAACAAGCTCTCCCAAATACATTTAAAATCTGGGATGCAGCCAAAATACAATGTCTGTCACTTATCACAAACAATTTACTGTGCCCACATTTACCAATTGATATTTTTCTTTGCAAAGTTCCTCTTTCATAAATGGATTTTCCTTAGTTGGACACTATTCAGTATAGTTCCAATTTTTTGCCAAAAAGATCATTTTAGTTTGATTTGAATCCCACTCTTTTCTTCTGTATTTGTTTTTGCCATTAAAAGTCATTGAATGAGCAATGTGCAAAGCATTTGAATTGCTTGTTTCCCTCCCCAGTCATACATTTTTAATTTTCCCATTCTGAAATTCTCAAAACTTCCTCAACTGTTGAAAATTGAGCTGCAACAGTGAACCAGTGACAAATAGGAAAGAAAGGTCCTAATTCATGTTGTGTAGAATTTAATTCTAAATTTTCTACTCATGTTGTGCAGTGCAGTAATATACCGTACTAAGTATAGTCTAAGTATATACTAAGTGCAGTTTGAGTGGTATACTATACTCTAGAAATGAACTAGGGGATATTCTAGATAAACTTGTTTGAAATGCACAATAGCTTACACGAAAGTGATGTCGGTATTACACCATACGAGAAAGCTGCATGATGAAGCAAGAACTGGTAATAAGAATACTCTCCTGAGTGAATGCTTTCTGTCTATAGAGCTATACAATAAATAATTTGTTCCCAGCTTATAACTAATGGCCTGTCTTGTCTTTCACGTTCAAACGCTCACCTCCTGAAAACTGACATTTCAGGGACGCCTCTTTAAATCCAGTACTAGCCATCACTGGGCTACAGAACCATGTAATCCAAATTCTTTGGTTTAAGATAGCTTTGTTAAGTTTATTGTTAAAACTGACTTTCCTCCTAACATCTGTGTAGCAAATTTCTGTACAGGAAAACAAACTCTCTCAGACGTTTTGCAGTTTCCCATGTGCTTGACTTGAGGCTTTGAGGAATCTGCCGAGGTTGGTGTTGCTTTCACAGCATGGGGGTCAGATTCCCTAGTTGTATCTGTATTAGTATACTAAAAAGAGCCAGGGCTCTAGCGCTGTCCCATGATAATTGATGCTGATTAATTTTTAGCATGCTGCCTGGTGTGTTTCTGGCCCACACCAAGTAGCATTTTCCCAGGCAGTGCCCAGGCACAGTGGAAGGGATAGTGTGTGCCAGGGACTGCTGCCAAGAGGCAGTTACTCTGATTTGGAAGAAGAGGAGACTTTAGCTGTGAGCCAGACAATGCTGCTTGCCCTGAGGAACAGAAAAGAGGTCTTGGTCCTTTTTATTTACTAGCGTAGAAATGACCTCTGAGTGCTGTAAAAATAAAACTTCATAGGTATTAGCAATTGGTCTGATGAAATCAAACACTATGCTAATTGGCTGACCCTAACCCCATTAAATCTTGTGCTTTGTCCTTGATAAAGAAACCATTAATGATAACTTCAGGAGGTGTTCATCCACTGGATTGGTTTTAGCAGCCTGTTTACTATGGGGAGGAGGGAGAAACTGTGTGAAAACTTTAATAAGCAAAAAGACTCACGTAATCTGCCCTGGTGCGAGCATTGAGCATCTAGCTTTTTTATGGCAGGTGTTGTTTGTTTCACAGATGTCTGTCATGCTGCATCCTTTCCCAGGTACAAAGTTTGTATAATGCTCCTTGCATTCACAGTGGGACTAAATCAGAAAGACGGGAGAGGGATAAGAAAAATTAGACATGCACAAATTTCGGCATACTTTCCTGAACTAGAGTTTAAAGACAGTGAGCCTTAGTTAGTCACCTGATGAGTTCAGATGCAAATATAAAGCTTATCCATATTTGTACAACTCCCTTCTAGGTTTTATCCACTCCAGAAAACTACTAACTCTCAGATAAATTTCCTTCAGATAAATCCCTGTAGACTCACTTCTGTGACCCAGAACATTTAAAATCAGTGTGGGTAGGTCAAAGTTTTTACCTCTGTTCCCACAGCCCTCTGCCTCCCAAACTGAGTGCCAAAGCATACTATTAATGTGAGGTTTATCTGCACAGCCGTTGTATATACCAGCATGCCTGTGCCAGCCTCATGCAGCTCACTGAGACACCCCTGAGATGAGCAACTTATATGACTGTGAACTGCAGGATGACCCTGGATGGCTTTGGCTCTTCAGGGTGTCCAGGCCAAAACATGCATGGTGTTCTAAGTCTCTCTTTCTTGATGGTGAGAGTTTTACATGCAGAAATCTGAGCCAGTTCTCAACAGTGTGAATAATATGCAGCCTTTTTATAATGCCTTTCATCAGTTGCCCTCAAAGACCCAGATTACTTCTTTCCTAAATACACTAACTTCAGGCATCTATCTGTGGTACTTGTGTAAGGAGCCTACTGGTCCTACAAGCCCCCTGTGGCCAGAGAGACAAAATTTAACTGGAAGAAACTTCATTGCAGTGCCTCCATTTTGGGGAGGCAAATCTGAGCCAAAACATTCTACAAAAAAGAACACTATTGCCATTCCCATTTTCAGAGAGGGAAACATGATATACATACATTGAGAAGGGAGGTAAAGGGACTCCTGGCCAATGACAGAGCTTATGCCAAAGCTAGGAGTAGAGCTTGGCCTCCCTGAGGTCCGTTCCCATACTCTCATGGCTTCTTTTTGGAGAGAAAGCATTAATTCTTCCTAGACAGTTGACATAGGGAACATCTGGGGCACTCATTCAACACTAACCTTTCCTGGACCGTCATATATGCAAATAGTGGACTCTGCAGGGCACTTCCCATATGTCATTTGGCAAGGGTCTACAGGTAAGCAGACTTGACCGTCGCCTCTGTAACCTTCTCGACAGATACATTGGTGCTGATTTGGTCCGAGGTAAATACAGTTGGCATTAGGATCACAGACCTTTTTGGAGCATGGGTTGATAGCTTGTGAAAAAAGAAGTGAAGTAAATGAATTATTGCCCGCAGTTCTTAAATTGAAGACAAGGATTTACCAGAGCACCTCCATGCTAAACAAAGCCTGGGTAGACTAAACTTCTCCTAACGGCCAAGTGTGAAGTATCGTGGCGGCATGAAGACAGAAGGGAGGAATGTGTTTATGCTAACGTAGCAACCAACTGTTTGCTTTTGAAATGAAATGATCTCTTAACTTGGCAAATTGAGTTATAAACAGATTAAAACATGTAATGTGCTCATTAAAATATCACAACTATTTCCTTGTTCTCTGGTGGATTTTAACTAGAGAGGGTCAGGTAGGTGATATAAGGTCTGTACAAGCTTTAAGCATGTGTTAGATCAGTTGGAAAATATTTCTCAGTACAATAGGCCTTCACTGTTTTCTTTCCGGTAATTAAACAATATAATGTCATCTGTTTAGCTCCATGGAAAACTGGCCAGCAAGTGCTTTAGTTGAGTCTTCCACACTGCTGTAGTTTCAGGACTGGACTGGAAGCTCACTAGTTATTTCCATGAACCATTTTTTTCAAGGCAATGGCATTGTTTGTTCTTGTTCAAAATCCGGCAGTGCTTGGAAAGCATCTTCTCACAACTTTGTGTCCAGCTTAGGATATGGTCAAGCACACATTGTAGCTAGAAGGTGTCAGGCCCCGGACTCACCTAAAAGGTGGTGCTGCTCACTGTCTTCCCCTTTCCTCCTCCCTTTCTTCCCCCTCAGCTGGGACTGAGAGAGTTGGCAATGCTCAGCTTCGCTCTTTCAAGCCTTCTTTTTTGTTCTGCTGTGAAATCATGCACGCTCACATATTCACATGCTCAAATCAACCATAAGCCATGCTGCCTCCAAGCTTAGTCTGGGGCAGCCACTGATATCCTCGCTTATGTACTTTGCTGCGCTGGAGCTGCTTGTCCTCTGCTTCCCAGCCAGTTAAATGTGAAAGATACTGGCTTAAGCCACAGGTGACCCCAGTAGCTAAAGGCACTCAGACAAAGGACCAACATCCGTGCAGGCTGCATCAATACAAACCCCAAGAGAGGCAGGGATACTAGCACCCTCCTTCTCTGCTGGTTGCTGCAATTTCTTTGTGTCTCACTTGTCTATGCTGCCTACTAGAAGAACCTCGTATTCCCCGAGGAGTCAATTTGACGTCTTGCTCTTGGATGGTGTGCAAGCTTACTCATAGAGGATGACACCATAGTTAGGACCAAGAGGATGGAATTGTACAGTGTAAATATTCCCAGAGAGGACAGGAAGTATTTCTGGCCTGATCCAAGCCAATATTTACTAAATAGTGCTTCCAGCATCAGATACAACCTTTTTCTTCATTGTAATTGGCCTAGAAGGATGAGTTGTCTGGTAAGATATAATGTAAGTAGAGGAAAGAAAATCTGGATAGTTGTAATACAGTTATTTTGAGAATTCAATGGCAAGTTGAGGAGTCTATAAAGACAGCTTTATGGTAGACTTTTACCTCTAGCTGAAATGCTACTATCTTTTATTTCCTGAAAAATAAGAAGGCTAAAATGATCTGTACTCGTTGATAGAATTTATGCTTAGTGATGAAGCTGAGCTGTCACATGGTGCATATTCAATAAATATAAGTCCTTGGTTGCTATTGTTGATTTTTATGAAGCAAACTATGAGGTCGAACTTTAGCAAGTAGACTGATGTAATAGGAGTGGATTTGTAAGCACTGATGACCCAGGATCCATGCTGCACATTTCAAGGGGGTTTGCCATCTTTATTCTGGTTGCATGGACTGAAGCTTGTTACCAGTTGGACTGATGTGCTTCTGGAGCACATTTTAGGGTTTAGTTTCATGAACAAGGAATCTAGTTTGTGCATCTGAGACTGCTTTGGGGTATGAACCCAAGAACAATTAAGTCAGGATGATGGTGAAATTTAGTTCAAAACTGCACTCAATATCTGAACTATAATACTAATGACGTTGCATCCAAAGAACTCAGGGGACATGAAAATTACTCACGTTCACATTGTGTACCGTCCCCGTGGTAGCTGGGCAGACACGTGCATTGCAGTTGTCTTCCATCTTTGCCCGAGGCAGTGCATCTGGAGTTTGCAGGGCACCGCAAGGCCTCGCATTCGGCTATTGCTGAGGGACAGAGGGTGACGGGTTAAGCTATGTCTGCACACTGTATCAGGAGGCATTGTGTCCTGTGCTATACCAGTTCAAAGTACACCTGATCTAGGGACCATCGATCCCATTGCTGTCATCATTATTCTGGTGATGAAGTGGTGATGATGGTTTATGGGAGCTCACACACAGGGTTTGAGGTTCAGTGTATGTTTGGTTGCTTTAGAGTGACTAACCTCAGACTAATTTTACGTTTGTCCTCACTAATTCTAACTGTATCAGAGCTGTTGAATAGATCTTATACAGAAAACAATCTACTTACGCTGATCACAGCTGAGTCCTTTGTATCCAGACAAGCAAGTGCATCTTCCATCCCCTGTAATTCCACTGTCGCATACTCCATGAACGCAGTTGCAAACTATATGGAGAGATGGATTAGCTTTACTGAATAACAACAGTGTTTGGAAAGACATCGTTCATGGTTACCCACAGCAAATAGTGCCCTGGCCAACAACTTTGCCCAAAACAAGCTTTATCCTGAGTTCCTGAATTTATAGGCTTCCGTTAATGAGAAGATCAATACTCACAGTTGCATACATCAGTAAATAACATACTGATTTTTTACAGGCTGTTAATAGCCTGGGGCCTGAAAATCTTCAGAACACACACTATAAACACCAAACTGACTAGTTGCTAATACCATAAAACTTGTAAAATTTGACATAGACTCTTGAGCCAAAATGGAATGTAACGTGTAACATAAGACCATTTTAATAACTGCTAACAAATTGCTCATTTTTACTTCAGTTCTGTTAGTCTCTCTCAAACACCTCTAGAAGAGATGACTGTTGTGACTTTTTTTCCCCCAAAGCAGAATTTATTTAGTTAAAAGGATAATTAATCACTGTGTAGGTCTCAGGCTTTTTTCTCGTCCTGTTCCTATGTTCTGTCATTTCCGATTATAAAACCTTGTGACAATGTGCACACAAGATACCATATTCAGAGTCCAGGTAGCTATGAGACCCTTTTATAAGTGGTTTTTGAAGCCTTAAGTATACTTAAAAAGCTTTGTAGATGTAATTGTTTCAATTATGGTAATGGTGCTTTCTAAAAAGGCCCTTTACACTTACACTTGGAAAAGCCTTTAAGATATACAGACTTGTACTGGTGACTTCATGTTTAAGCTGCAGTGATGTAGTGTATCCTCTTCCCTTTACAAACATATCCTGTGTTCATGCAAATTGCTTACACTAATTAATTGATAACATTCTACCGATGTTAGTAGTCCTAATATAAAAACCAGGAATGTCTAAGATATTGCTGAAAAGCAGTTAGTCACAAATGCACAGTATTTATAGGTATTTAGAAAACTTGGAGGGACTCAAATATCTGAAAGCTGAAGTGTAAAATGTTGCTTAAATTAATATGCAGCTGAGACCGCTGGTAGCTTCTTGGAAAATAATTACATTTATGACATTGAATTCATTCAAGTACCTTGTTTTCATGAAAATGTTGGCTCAGTTATATTTCTGTGTATCAACACTGGCATCCAGTGGACAGCTGGTGGAAAAAGGGCCAGCAGCAGCATAGGATTCGTGCAGAAAGGCCAACATAGATTATTTAAATTGAGGCCATTCGTGACTCTTTTTAGAAGTAACTTTACGTAGATCTTGAGGGAACAAAAGGAGTTTCACTTAGAGATAAATAACTATTACCACTTAAGAAAGAGACGTTTCTTAATATTTTTTTCCAGGCAGTTTTCTGTTTTTTTTCGGTTTAATACTCAGCAGCGGTCAGGAAGGTAAATAAAACACTAGAAATCATTAAGAAACAGGCAAAACTGGAAAATATTGTACAAAAGCACACACTTGTGATACATGTACATTTTAAATAGCGCACATAGCTCTGATCCCTCCCTCAATGTCCCACTTCTCCTAACAGAAGTATAGCCAACAAATGAAATCATCTATCAGCCAAAACCAAAACCTAAACCAAACCCATCCTTTTTCACACTTTTGACTGAATTATGGAGTTCCCTGGCAGAGAATCCTGTGGAGAGCAAAAGCAAATTAGACTCAGAGACAAGGCAGATAATTTATGGAGGATGGATCTAGGAGGAGCCTTTAAACACTACAATTTGAATGCAACCTCTGGCTGCTTCTGCAATTTGAATTCAACCTCTGGCTGCTTCTGCTCTGTCCCTAGATATCAACTCTTGGTCCAATACGGGATACCAGGCTAGAAGGACTTTTGGCCTGATTCAGAATGGCCTTTTTTGAGTCAGATACACTGATTTAAATACCACATGAGTATTTCATGCCTTAATACAGATGGTCCAGTTTGTAGATGTGTTTAAAAACCATACCAAAACACTGTAAGCCACTATAAATTATTCGCTTGATATGTTTCCACTCAATATTTTAAGTATCATAACAACCTCCTGTATTAAAGAAAATAAATGCAAATCCACAATTTAGGGTGAAAGGCTGACAACATGATAACTGGCTAACAGGGAGGCATACCTGCAGGAACACACAAATGTTTCTGATCCTCAATTTATTTGACTGTTGGCTGTAACAAAGATATTCAAGACAAGATTAAGATATTTTTGTAGCACTACACTGGGAGTGTTGTCTGTACAGTCTGGAGTTGAATCCAGCCCCACTGTGAATGAGGAATTGTGTAGCTGGCTATTTTCTTTCACCGTTGTGTTCCCTGAAACAGACAGCAGCTCTTGATGGGAAACCCTTAGACCCTCTACCCATTTCACTGTGATTTCTTAGTGTCTGAATACAGCTTTCACTCACCTTCTTTTCCGCACTTCAATAAAGAAAGCTCAAACTTACCTGATGTGCAGTGAGGACCAAATAAATTATCTTCAGCACATTTTTCACAGGCTGTCCCACCAAACCCTTTCTGTGAATTACAGAATGGAAATCAAAACTTAAGTTTCTCATCTCTCTCTATATAGATATAGGCTTAGCACCAAAAACAACATCGTTAGCTGCCAAAAGAAAATAGCATGAAAGGTTCAATCAGCAAATCAGAAATGACTGCTGCAATCTAGAAAGCATTGTCTTTTGAATGATTTTTTTCCCCTTTCTCTGCCTTTTTTAAAAGTAATTTTTAGATCTTACACTTCAAATCAGACCTTCTGAATATCAAGTTAACAATAAAGAGCAGTAATCAAACCTAATGCCCAAACTGTTCTTACAATTGTTGGATTGTGTTTTCTGACTACTTCTCACTCTGTGTCTTTCATACATCCCCAGATGTGCTTATGATGTAATGGAAAGTTTAACCAGTAGAGGGGGACGTAGAAAAGATTAATTTGAGTTGTTTTTTTTTTAAAAAATCTTTTTGGCTGAAGTTACTAAGCGCTGCTAATTGCACTCTCAGCAAAGGAACATTGTATCGAGACTATAGTCCCAAGTATAATTGCTTCCTAATAAGGCAAAAAGTAATAAATAATAGCATACTATAAAAAATACAGGAACTCAAACCACCTGTTTCAGGAAGGCAAGATGGAAGAACTTTTTAATAATTTCGTCCAAATATGTTCAAGTCTGTAGAAATAATAGTGTGAAGATTAGTCCAATCCAAGCAAAAAATGAACTTCAAGCAGGTCATCTCTGCTGTTTCTGAAATACTTTCCTTTAATGTATTTATACAACAAAATAAGCATTATTTCTTAGCAGAGCCTACATGTTATTGCTGTATTTTTTTGTTTAAAAGAAAAGACGTACCTGACAAGTGCACGTTCCATCCCCATCTATACCCTGGGAGCAGCGTCCTCTCCTGTTGCACGGTGAGGCAGCTCCTCCCGGACATGCTAGAAATGACAACGTTCAGGCCATCAGTCAGCTTGCTCTGACCCTTATGCTCCCCTTGCACATTAGAGGTGACATCCTTGGAGGCTGCAGGGTTTTGGGCCAGACAGGGACCTCGAGTGATGGCTCCCGTTTTGCAGCTGCCTGAATCTCTTGGCTAGAATCTCAGCTTCAGCAGAGACCATCACCTTCTCTAATCTGGGAACCTAAACTAGTGATTGTAACAAAAAAAAATAGTTTTCTTGTTCTGAAGTACCATATTGATTTTGTCCCTGCTGATCCACCTCCATCTACAGACACTTCGAACTGTTAGCTTTTTTGATACAAGTGGAGTTTGCCTGACCACTTCTTCTGTATGTTAATACAACTCTGATTGAAAATTTGCTGTCAGAATTATATTTGATGCTAAGCTGGAGTTTAAATAAGCTTTTTTCTTTTCCTCACAAATTGCATTTGCTTTATGTGGAAAGCTTTTCCTTTTCCCCACTACCTCCCATAAGACTGTGATATTTGATTCAAATGATCTTCGAAATTGAAATTCAGGTATCTCATAACCCACTTCTGTTCAATGGGCTGTGGTCACTGGTAAAACTTGTATGCTGAAGATGTGCTATGCTCTTCAGATCCTCTGGTGCTAAAACCATGATTACAGGCAGTGGTATACCACATGAGACAGAGTCTCACCAAAAACCCCAGCTAGCAGGAGAGGATAAGAAACAATGACTGTATTTCCAAATCAAAATAGTTTAATTTTTGGCTGAATTTTTTTCAATATTCAAATTTTTACTGAAAGATTGCCTATAGGAAATGCATATTACAGTAATTTTTAGTCAGATTGTTCTGTCAGGTTTTTCCCCCTGTAGGGATCTCCTTATTTTTTATAGTTGTACAGCTTCCCATGGAAACGATTTATTAACTCCCTTCCATAAGCCCTTCCTTCCCATCACTGGAGTTCCCATTAGGTACCATAATCCTGGTGCAGGTGGTATCTAAGTGTATCAAACTCCAACTGCCCTCACAGCTTCTCTGCTCTACCTTACTGGTAGATTTGTTGCTTATAAAGAATTTCGGTTTGTTCTGTGTGGGTGGAGGTGGGCAGCACTGGATTTATGCTCCCACTGAGTAACTTAATCCTGATTTAGAGTGTTTAAGTGATGCGGAAGCTTTCACAAAAATGAATTTGATTTGGACAGAGTGATGAGCAAATAAGTGGATGTGTATATGTGTACACCTAATTTTAGTGAAGGCTTTGGCTTTATACCAATCTGTTAATATTTCTTAATTTATTCCTTAATGATGAGTGTGTGAGGTCTGTTGGATCTGGGTAAGCTTCTTGTGAAAAAAACACTAAATTTAAAGACGAAAATTTTAGTGCAGTTTATCTCATACATGCTGAAATAAAAAGATTTATTAAGAATTGAGATGAAATAACCAGAAATGAGGTAAAGTACTGTACTTTAATCTTTAAAGTGGCTTTTAGTGAATCTTGTTTTCTGGCTACCATGTCATAGCTAAATCTCATCTTTAGGACTGACACAGATACAAACTGTTTAATATTTGCTCTGGACGAAAACAATTTTACCTGCACTGAAGTTTTTATTGAATGTGCAATGATAGAGAAAACTCAGAGTTTATGGTATAATTGCTAAGAAAGGGTACTTTAAAATTGCTGACAAAACTTGTTTTTTGCAGTTGGCATTTATTACACTTGCCCTTGTCTTCACTACCTCTTGTCTCTTGTTTTGATACCACCACCAAGGGACAGCTTTATCAGAAGTGTAGCAAATTACCATATTGTTGGAGTTTGGTCAGGCAGATAAAGTTCTTCCCCCAGCCGACGAGGCCGCAGGAGGCAGTGCTGGGACACGAGTGATGCTGGGACAGTCACCTGCCACCACCCCGGTGCTGGGGAGAAGTGAGACCTTTGCTTTTGTTGAGGGTGATTTTTGACAAGTAGTAAGAAAGAGATGTTCTGCTTAGCTTTTACAGCTGGCAGAGTATGAAGGCCAAATCTTTATACCTAGGCCAAAAGAGCTTAAACCTATCAGCTTTTTTGCCTCATAGAGTTTAATTCAGCACTTCCCAAGTGTTTTCAAATGCAGCCTCTTGGACTTCTCTTCACCTGACTCCCTGCAGGCTGAAGCAGTGGGTAGAACTTGTAAAGATGCATTTTGGACCATATAATTTGATAGAATTAAGTTTATTATCTTTCCTCTTGGCCTTTTTTTTTTTTTTTTCCTTTTCACTTTTTTCCTTTATTCTTACAGTGCTTTCTACTCAGTTGCTCATACCATGTACCTCTCAGTTGGTACCCAGGCTTTTCTTCAGAGCCATGCAAATATTAGCCCAGAGTAGGAACTTGAGCTGGGGTAGGGAGTAGCTCCTGCAGAAGCCCATCATT